GAAAAAATAAAAATTCTTGGGGAATTTTAAGGTTAAAATTAAATAAAAAAAATATTTTGTTATTGGGGTTTAAATTTTAAGCATTTTCTTTTAAACCCCTTAAAAAAAAAAATAAAAAAAAATAAAAAAATTAAAAATTTTTTTCCGGGTGGGGGAAAAAAAAAATTCCCCCCCCACCCCCCACCCACCCTTTATTTTTTTTATAAAAATTTTTATTGTTTTTAAAAAAAAAAAAAAAAAAAAAAAAAAAAAAAAAAAAGAAAATGGACAAATAGTTTTTTTTACTTTTATAAATAAAAATAATATTATTAAAATTTACTATAATTATTTTTTGTTACTACAATTATTATATATTAGTTTCAAATTTTCTGACCTTTTTAGTGTTTGTGGTGTGGGAATTTGTTTTCAATGTAATATTTAAAGCTTTATTACATTCAAATTATTAACAGAAATACAACAAAACATTTACATACACCAAAACAATACCACACTACTATTAAATATTATGTATATGTTGCTGTTGTTTGAAATTTAAATTTTATATTTTATATTTTTAAAAAAAAAAGAAAAGGGTGGGAGTGTTTGGACTGGATGGTGTGTCAATGGTTAAATTTAAAAATATACCTTTTAAATATATTTTGCAACGACGTAATGTTAAAATAATGAGGATTTTGAATATTTTATTTATTTATTTTATTATTTTATTATTTTATTATTTTTTATTATCGAAATTTTTTTTTTTTATTTCTTTTTGTTTATTTTTTTTTTTTTTTAATATAAAATAAATACAACAAGAATAATAATAAAAATAATGATATTATTAATAAATCCTAATATTATTATTGATATTATTAATATGTTATTATGATTATTATTATTAATTTATAAAGGAATTGTATATCCTCACACTTGCACAATTTTGATTTTTTTTTTTTTTTTTTTTTTTTGTAAACATATTTTTTTTTCTTTAAAAACTACACCATTATTATTATTTGTTGAATTCATAAATACAAAAAATAAAAATATTAATTTAAACACAATGTAATTGGACAATTAAAAAATTTTGTGACGTTTCGGTCGTATAAAAAAGAATATTTTAATTTTAATTTTATTTTTATTTTTATATTATTTTTTGAAATAATACCATAGACAATTAAAATCTATAATTTGATATGTAAGGAATGTGTGTATGTGGTGAATTATTTCTTGTTTTATTGAACTTTTATTATTTTTTTTTTTTTTTTTAAATTTCCATTTCAGATCGTGTGATGTTTTTTATTACAGGAGGATTTAAATTAGTATTACTATTGCAAGGATTGAATTTTAAAAAATAAGAAATATAAAAAATTTAAAAAATTCTTGGGTACTCGAGTGCTGTTAGACTAGTAGAAGCCTAACATGATAGTTTTATTGGGTGTTGTTTTTTTTTAAAAAAAAAACATAAAAAAAAAAAAAAAAAACAAAACAAACCAAACAAATAGATTTTTAGATTATATTTAAATAAATATTATAATACTGTTTTATTAATTAAAAAAAAAAGTGGCCTTTAGTTAGGTGGAGTGTGTCTGTTAAAATAAAAATTACCCTTGGGTGTGGTGTTATATTTTAAATTCTATCTATATGTCATTTCTTTTTAACTTTTAAATCTATGAGATTAATATATATGCTATAATAAACAATTCATTTTGAAATAAACTAAGGAGTCCAGAGTTTAATCTAGACATCCTTTAAAGATAGGTGATTATGACTATTGTTTGTGTGTGGGTGTCAAAAAAAAATAAATAAAAAAAAACTAAAAATTAAAAATTTTAAATTTTTTAATTTTTTTTTTAATTTTTTATTTTTTAAAATATTTTTTTTTTTCACAAATAATAACAAATTACAGATAAAAGATTAAAAGTATATAACAAACACCACCCCCCTCCCCAAACAATAAAATGAACATTAATTTCAAAAGGATAATAAGTAACTCAATATTTATTATATCAATACCATGTTTAATTCATAATCATATTTTTACAATAATGTATGATGACAATAAAAAAAATAATAGATTTTTTAATAATGATAAAATTAAAGAACCAATAAAATCAGATAATAGTCACAACAGTAGACCCAATAAAATATTTGAAATGATCACAACTGACAGTAATGGTAACATTGTTTCAACATCAACCGCAACCATTTCAAATAATAATGATAATAATAATAATAATGATAGTAATGATAATAATACCACAATCACAGAATCACAAAATATTAAAAAAGAATACACCGAAAGAAAATCATTGTTACCATTTAGATTAATATTTATTAATAAATTTTCAAAAAATTATAAACAAAATGATATTGTTGCATTAATGTAAAGTATAATACTTTAATTTATCTGTTTTTCTTAAAATAAAAAAATATATTTAGAATTCCCCCATTAGCAATTTACAACCACAATTATTTTATTTTTTGGGTTATGCTATTTTTAAAAAATAGAATTTTTCAATTTCGTCTAAAGAAAATTAGATAATAAGATTATTCTCGATTGAATTACTTTAAATAGATAAATAACAAAAATAGAAATATATCATAGATAAAAAAGATAAAAAAGATAAAAAAGATAAAAAATATAGATTTTTAGATTTTTAGATTTTAAGATAATTAATTATTTTAAAATAATTAAAACCCCCATTTTTAGGAAAAAAAACCACCCATTTTATGTTTTTTATTTTATTTTTAAATTTTTTATTTTTTTTTTATAACTTTTTATATATATATATTAACTAACCTATTTTTCTTAAATATAGAGATCCCAAATCACCAAATGAAACTATTATTAGAAAAGTTTTAGTTGCATCTAATGATTTATTGCAATACTATGCAACCGGAGTCCCCACAGGATCATTAATGTACGCCGAACCTAACAAAGTGGGTGAGAATTCCGCAAAGGTTACCCCAAAAGGTATGGTGTTGGGTAAAGTTATGTTCTATATATAAAATAATCAATCACATACAACACACACACAAATATATAAATACAATTAATTTTAATTAATTAGTTCGGTTAAACAAAGAATAAAGTTTTTAAATTATTCGAAATAATTTTCTTTTTCTCATTCCTAAAAAATATCTTTTTTTTTATTTTTTTTTTTTATTTTTTTTTATATTTTGTTTTTATTTTTGTTTTTGGGTAAATTGATAATTTTTTTTTTTCCTCTTTTTTTTTCATTTTTTTTTGTTTAAATAGATTTTATATTATTATCAATTTAGTTGTCAATCAAAAAAAAAAAAAAATTTTTTTTTTTTTTTTATTAGTTTTTATAAAAAAGATGAATATAAAATCATTAAAAAAATCATTATTTATTATATTTATAATCGTTTTTTTAATATTATTGATTTCGAGTAATTTGAATATTACTTTCAAGGATAGTAATAATGATATTAAAAGTTTTGAAAATATCAATTCAAACAAAGAAAATAATATAATAATACAAGATGAAATAAATAATGATAATAATAATATAGATAATAAAAATATAGTTAATAGTAATAATAATGTTTTAAAAAGTAGTGATAAAAGTACAAATAAAAATACTATAAATATCAATAACGAATTTATTTTTGATAATAGTAATAAAAACAATAACATTAATAATAATAATGAAAGTAATGAAAGTAATGAAAGTATCCAAAGTAAAAAAAGCGAAGATTTTAACAGATTTGGGGAGAGCAATGGAAATAGTAAAAGCAGTGAAGATAGTGAAAAAAGTTTAAATAAAAATAATAGTAATGATTTTAGAAGTAAAATTAACTCGAATAATGAAAGAGGTGAAGATAATGAAAGCGAAGAAAGTAATGAAAATAGCAACACTCTATATAAAGAACAAGCTACACGTGTTTATATTACAAAAGAAGAAGCAGAAAGAAGAAAAAGAGAAAAAATAGAAAGACTCAATTATAACAATAATATGACAGTTATTGAATCAGCAATGTTATCAAAGTTTTCAATTGAAGAATGTAGAAATGAAATTAAATATTTAATTAAAAATGATATTACGCAACCAACAATAGCCTCAATAAAACAAATGCCAGGTTATCCAGGCCCAAGAGAACCATACTATGATTATGATGAATATTTAGACACTGAATGGAAGGAACAGCCAGAAAACAATACTCTATTACTACCAAAACCACATATATTTATACATATGCCAAAAACAGGAGGAACATCATTATTAAAAGTATTCAGAAAAAATAATAAATCATTTAAATTCTATCATGGCACTATTCATCCAACCTATCCAGAGCTTCAACATATCACAAGAAAAAGCACTCTCTTTGGTCATTTTAGATTTGGTTTACATAAATATTTTAATGACATTCCCAAACTATCTTTACCAAGTGATGCAGAGGAGCCATATTTTAATCCATACAGTTATCTTACCATGTTAAGAGATCCTGTTGAACGTACTATATCACACTATTACTTTTTAAAAGAAAGTATTAGCCATCCTTTACACAAAGAGACCCTTAATAGAACACTTTTAGAATGGACTGCAGTGTCACCTACATCAAATAACGAGTTTTGTCGTCGTATGGTTGGCATTGATAGAAACGTAGAAACTCCTATCGACTTTGAACAGTTATGTATCCATCGTTTAAAATACACATTCAAATATATTGGTATAATGGAAAGATTTGACGAATCAATCGTATTACTATCTCACAAACTTGGTTACACCAAATTATTATTCCCAAATGAAAATGTCGGTAAAATTAGAGCCACTCACACCAAAGAAACCTTAACTAAAGAAGAAAGAACACTTATAGAACGTTTAAACACTGCAGATATCAAAGCATACAAAATTGCATTAGAAATATTCGAAAAAGAAATTGATTTGGTTGGAAGAGATTTCTTTAACAACGAAGTAACTCAACTCAAAAATATATATATTAAAGAAAACGGTCCAGTCGAAACACTTTATATCAATGATAAAAGATCTAAAAAAAATAAATTGTCAAATATTAAAAAAGAACCAGTAATATATATAACTGGAAATGGAAATGATATAGTCACAAACAGCAAAGATTCAAATAATAATAATGGGGGTAATTTAAATACCAATAACAATAATAATAATGAAGTTAATAATGATGGAGGAAATTTAAATATTGTAAATAGCAATAGTAACAGTTTGAGCGGTAATGGAGGTAACATCAATAATAACTTTAGCGATAGCAATAATAAAAACAATAATAATGATGGCGGCAATTTAGAAAATTAAACTTTATCATTAAATAAAAAAAATCTTAATAAATTAATTAATTTTAAATTTATGATTGTGGTGATTGTGGTCTTTTTTTTTTTTTTTCCCAAAAAACTTTTACCTTTTCTTTGTTCATTTATACTATTTTTTTTATGAAATTAAATTATAAATTAAGACAATATAATATTATAATAATTATATTTAAAAAAAAAATAAAAAAAATAAAAAAAAAATAAAAAAATTAATTTTTTCAGTTTTTTTAAAATTTTTACATTATTTAGTCTTTTAAACAACCCCCAACAACAATGAATTAAATATTACAACAGCAATGAAAAATATATATTTTTTAAAAAAATTATTATTTGTTGTAATATTAATTGTGTTTTCATTAATCATTTCATATAGTTTCAATAACACTTATAAAAATAGTATAAAAAATTTTAATAATAATATTAAAATTTCTGAAAAAGAATATAATATAATAAAACAAGATGTAAATAATAGCAATAAAGATGATAATAATGACGATATTAATAGTACTAGTGATAATAATAATTTAGATAGCAAAGAAAAAAGAAAATTAAAATTAAAAGAATGGTTTGAAAGAAAAAGATATTATGAACAAAAACAAATAACGGAAATGAATTTATTGAAAAATCATTCAATTAGAGAATGCAGAAAAGAAATTAATTATTTAGACAAACATGATATTACACCCACTATAGCCTCACTCAAATTAATACCAGGCTATCCAGGCCCGAGAGAACCATACACCAATAATAATGAATATTTAGACAACGAATGGAAAAAAAGTTCATTAACCAATCGATTACTACTACCGAAACCATATATATTTATACACATGCCAAAAACAGGAGGAACATCATTATTAAAAGTATTCAGAAACAATAATAGAAATTTAAAATTTTATTACAGTAATGTGCATCCCCCATATCAAGACCTGAAGAACGTTGTAAAAAAAGACACACTTTTTGGTCATTTCGTATTTGGCTTACATAAATATTTTGACAAACACCCAGAAACCCGATTACAATTACCAAAAGATATAGTAGAGCCTTATTTAAATCAGTACAGCTATCTAACTATGTTAAGAGATCCAATTGACCGGGCCATATCGCATTATTACTTTTTAAAAGCAAGCTTTGACCATCCTCTACACCATCAAACAATCAATAAAACATTTATAGAGTGGATATCAATCACCGATACCGTAAATAACGAATTCTGTCGTCGTATGGTTGGTATTGATAGAAGCACCGAAACAACAGTAGACTTTGAGAATCTATGTATCCATCGTTTAAAATACACATTCAAATATATTGGTATAATGGAAAGATTCGACGAATCAATCGTATTACTATCTCACAAACTTGGTTACACCGATTTACTATTCCCAAACGAAAATGTCGGTAAAGTTAGAACTAACCACACCAAAGAAACTCTAACTCAAGAAGAAAGGTCACTTTTAGAACGTTTAAACACAGCAGACATCAGAGCATACAAAATTGCATTAGAAATATTCGAAAAAGAAATTGACATGGTCGGAAGAGATTTCTTGAATCAAGAAGTAATCCAATTCAAAAAGAAATACAATGAGGAATACAATATCACATAAAAATATTCAACTTTAAAAAAAAGAATTAATAAAATAAATAAATTTTAATTAATTTATTTACAATAAACAACCATAATTTAACCGATTTCCTTTTTTTTTTTTTTTAATTTTTTAATATCTTTTTTTTTATTTTTTAATTTTTTTAATTTTTTTAAAAACCATTTTACGAATTAATTTTACTTTATAAAAAATAATAATGATATATTAAAATTATAAAATGAATATACAATCATTAAAAAAATCATTATTTATTATATTTATAGTTGTATTTTTAATAATATTTCTTTCGAGTAATTTAGATATAACTTTAAACCAAAATAATAATAATAATATAGAAAATGTAAATTCAATAAAAGAAAATAATGTAATAGTTCAAGATGAGTTAAATAGTGGCAGTAGTAACATAAAGAATGGGAACAAAATAAGTGACATTAATAATGACAGAAATAATGACTTTAATTACAATAAAATTGATAGTAGCAATATTAATAATAATAATATCAATTTAGACATTAGTAATAATAATTTAGATATTAACTTGGAGGACGATAGTAAAAGTGAGTCAAGTAAAGATAACGTCAGTAACAATAGTAATAATAGTAATAATAAAAATGAAAATAATTATGGCACCAACAACTATTTGGCTAAAGAAGGAAACGAATTTAGTGAAAAAGCAATAAAAGAAACAATCAGAAATAACGAAGTTATGACATTAAGAGAATCAGTTATATTATCAAATTATTCAATTGAAGAATGTAGAAATGAAATTAAATATTTATTAAAACACGATATTACAGAACCAACTATAGCTTCACTTAAACTTGTACCAGGCTATCCAGGCCCACGAGAATTATATCACAGTAATAAAGAGTATTTAGACACTAAATGGAAAACGGAACCAGAAAAGAATTCATTATTACTACCCAAACCACATATATTTATACATATGCCAAAAACAGGAGGAACATCATTATTAAAAGTATTCAGAAAAAATAATAGAAAAATCAATTTATATCATAATACTCAGCACCCAACTTATCCAGAGCTTCAAAATCTTCCATTGAGACATACACTATTTGGTCATTTCAAATTTGGTTTACATAAATATTTTGATGAAAATAAAGAAACTCAATTACAATTATCAAGTGATATAGTAGAACCATATTTAAATCCATACAGTTATCTAACAATGTTAAGAGATCCTGTTGACCGTGTAATATCACACTATTACTTTTTAAAAGAAAGTACTGGTCATCCTTTACATTCAGAAGCCGCAAATAGAACACTTATAGAATGGACTGCAGTATCCGAAGCTTCAAATAACGAATTTTGTCGTCGTATGGTTGGTATTGATAGAAATGTAGAAACTCCTGTAGATTTTCAAGAGTTATGTATCCATCGTTTAAAATACACATTCAAATATATTGGTATAATGGAAAGATTCGACGAATCAATCGTATTACTATCTCACAAACTTGGTTACACCGATTTACTATTCCCAAATGAGAATGTTGGAAAGATTAAAAGCCACACTAAAGATACCATTACACCAGGTGAAAGATCAATTATAGAGCGTTTAAACATTGCAGATATCAGAGCATACAAAATTGCATTAGAAATATTCGAAAAAGAAATTGATATAGTTGGAAGAGATTTCTTGAATCAAGAGCTTATCCAACTCAAAAAGAACTATATCGAGGAGTATGGCCCAATTGAAGTATTTTATATTGGTGATAAATATAATCAAGGTAAAGGTAACAATAATTTCAACACCAATAATAGCAATGGAAACGGCGATGGCGGCAATTTAATTAGTAATAATAATGGTGAAATTAACAATAATAATAATAACGATGGTGGTAATTTAAACAATATCAATAGCATCGAAAGTAGTGACAATAGTAATAACAATGTTGGTGGAAATTTGAACAATAACAACAGTGATAGCGATAGTGTCAGTAATGATTTTTAAATATAAAATAATGTTTTAAAATATTTTTAAAATATTTTTTAAATAAATCTAAAATATAACAACCTTTTTTTTCTAATCTAGTTTAATTTATGTGTTGTTTTAATTTTTATTTTTAATTTATATCAAGTTAATTTATTATACAATTTTTTTTATTATAATTATGATTATTACCTTCAAATACATTTTGTGATTCTACAATTCCATTTATTAAATCTGCATACAACTGTGTCACATTTAAATTATATTTTGATGATGTTTCTAAATATTGAATACCCATTTCGTCTGCAAAAGATTTGGCTTCCTCGTAAGACACTGCTCTTTCAGCGATTTTATGTTCAACTAAATCTAATTTCGTTCCTATTAAAACCATTTCGGAATTGACTCTTGTGTATCTTTTTGCTTCGTTAAACCAAAATGTTATACATCTTTCAAAGGATGCTCTATTTGTAATATCAAATACTAAAACTGTACCATTTACTCCTCTATAAAATGATACACCTATTGTTTTAAATTTCTCTTGACCAAAAGTATCCCAAATATAGACCCTTAAAACATTACGATCAAATAAAAATTCTTTTATTTTAAAGTCTTGATCTAATAATATAAATGAATTTTCTGAATCGAATCTATCCTCTGTGTATCTTAATGTTAAACTTGTTTTACCTATAATTATTTATTTATTGTTATACTTATTATTAATATTTTTGCTAATTTTATAAATTATCTAAGCAAATAGAAAACCATCTTACCAACTCCAAGATCCCCAACTAAAATTATCTTTACAATAGTTTTTTCCATATAATTTATTTATTTTATTGGTGGTTTGAAAAAGTAAATATTAATTTAAAAAAAAAAAAAAAAAAAAAAAAAAAAAAAAAGGGTTTTTTCCAAAATTTTTTTATATTTTTATTAAATTTTTTTATTATGGTATTATTATTAATTGTTATTAAAAAATTTTATTAGAATTACAAAGATATAATTAGAATCGAAATGGTTTATAATATCTTTTTTTATATTTTTTTTTATTTAAAAAAAAAAAAAAAAACAAAAAATTTAAAAAAATAAAATTAAAATTTAAAAAAAAAAAAAATCAATATTTTTTTTATTTTTGGTTTTTTATATTTATATCATAAATTATAAATAACAAATAATAAATAATAAATAATAAATAACAATAGTAACAATAATATCAATATAATAATGGTAAATAAAAAATGGTTAATTTAAAAGAAGTAGAATATAATGAAAGTTTAATTAAATTACAAGAGATATTGGAATCTGAAAAAGAGATTTCACCAGAAGGAAATGATTACAGCAAATCAAATTATTACTGCGAGGGTATCTTGGAGAATGCAGATACTCAAGTTGATATCGATGGTTTTGGTCAATTAGAGTTTCCTTGTCAAGAGAAACAATTGAAAATGTTGATCGAAAAATTAGGAATACGTGCACCATATGGCAAAGGTGGCGAAACAATTACAGATTTATCAGTTAGAAAAGTGTGGCAAATTCCAGCAGATCAAATAAATCTGAATCATCCAACATGGCCAAAAACAGTTGATACTATTTTAAATAAATTAAAGAATGAACTTGGTGTTTTTGATGAAAAGATTCAAGCTAATTTATACAAGATGTTAATTTATGACCAAGGTGGATTCTTTTTACCACATACCGATTCAGAAAAAGAACATAGAATGTTTGGTACTTTAGTAATTGTTTTACCAAGTTCACATAAAGGAGGTGACTTAATCATTAAACATGGCAATAAATCGGTTACATTAAATTTAGAAAATGATCAGCTAAATCAACTCAAGTACTCTTCATTTTATAGTGACTGTCAACATGAAGTTAAACCAATTACAAGTGGCTATAGGGTATGCTTGGTTTACAATTTAATCAAAACTGGTAAAAGAATGTTAGAGGAAAACGAAATCAATGGTGGTGATAGAAAAGAAAGGAAATTAAATGGTGAATTTAGAAATAATGATCAAGAAAATGAAACTGTAGAGTTTTTAGAAAGAGAAATTAATCAACAATTAAAAAATTCAAATAAACTAGTTTATGTATTTAACCATCACTATACAAATGCACAAAGAACCTTTGAAGATTTACGTGGCAAGGATAAGTTAATTGTTGAAAAGCTAATGGCCATCAAGGATAGATGTAAATTTATATTATATTTAGCAGAACTAAAACTTATTGAAAACAGTTTTGGTGAATTTAATGAAGAAGATACCTCGATGGGATATGAAGAGATTGGCGTGGAAATTGGAGAAACCCAGGTACAAAAATTTACAGATATAAATGGAAAACAATGGAATGTCAAAAGATTAAATGTAGATATTAAAAAGGAGATTTTCCCAAAAGATTGTTTCAATACTATAGAATCCTATAAAATTGCAGCTAGTGGTCCAACAGGTAACGAGGGCTCAACTGAAGATAGATTTTACAAGACTACAGCACTAGTAATAATCAAATCTCAAGATAAAGTAAATACTGTTATTAAAGATGGTACCAAAGATGATATACCAATGGTTGTTTTATCGGATATAGTATTACCAATGATTGAAAACTACTCAAAAACTAATGACACAGACACAAAAGAATGCGCACAAATTATAATAGATCAGTATTTTAATCACCCAAAAATCAAACCAACATTAACTATTTCAAAACAACTTAGATCCACCATTAAAAAGTATTGCCCATCACAAGAGAAAGCTTTGTTTGTTGAATTGATCAAGTCATATCAAAATCATCAAAAAGAATTTTATATAAATATCGAAAAAATTATAAACTATTTTACAAAAGAACAAATACTCAATATAGTAAAGAAACCTATACCATATGACTATAGTAATCATAAACCAAATGCAAAAACCAATAATATTTTAACAGCATTCAAAAACTTAATAAAAATAATAACAAATAGCAATAATAAAATAGATAATAAAATAGATAATCAGGTTATACAAGAATTTATTGATAGTAATATTGAATTTTTCAAACCAAAAGTACCAATTCCAAATATTAAATCATCCTATAATAATTATCAACAGTTTCAAACAAATAATTTTCCATCAGTTTTAATCCAACACTATCCAGAATATATTAAAATATTTAAAGATTCGATAAATCATTCGCTCAGTTTCGAATTACCATTAGATTCATTAGTAACCCTTAATAACTTTTGTAAATTATTTGATGATCAGCCACAAGAAATTAATCAGCAATTAGATAGAGAAAAAGAAAAAATCGATATAATATACCATCAAATAATATCAAACAACCTCAAAGATTATTTAGCTATAGACTCACCACAGGATAGCTGCTCAATAGATCAATTGTATAGAAATTGGGAGCAACTTGTATATCCAATTAAAGATACCAAAGTATTTCAAAAATTATTTTTTGAAAGTTTAATCTATTCAAATACCAACATACAGGTTATATTAGATTTCATCCAAAGAATATTTGAAGGTTATGATAATGAAGGTGCAAATAACAATACCACCAAAGTTCTTGTAGATGAAAATAAACTCAATATTGAAGCATTTACTGTACTTTACGAAACAACATTAACAAACTATATTGAATCAATTACTAAACCAACTCTAAAAAACTATAAATACAACCCTATAACAGAGTGCGTATGTGATATATGTAAGAGTTTAAATAGATTTATGAAGGACCATAAAAGAACCACATACAGCACAGAAATTACAGATATAGGTAAAAAAAACTATATTTCAAAATTACTCGATAGCAATAATAATATTTTGCAATACACAAATAGACAAAAGAAATACTCAACACCAGGTGGTCATAATATAGAAAAGAAATTTAATCCAACTACATTCATTCATCCTGATGATTTTGTTAAAGCAGTAGAAAAAATAAAAACACTTGTACAAGAATTTAAAACAATATTACCAAATCAATGTAGCAGCTATACAATCAAAACAATTGAACAGTTTTTAAACAATAGTGATAAAATATTAAAGAACTCTAAAACAATCATTCCTTCTATAAAAATTAAAAAGAAAAAAATTAAAAAAATGAAAAAATAAAAATAAATTAAATTTATATTCATAACTTTATAACTTTATTTAAAGATTATCATTATTGCTTATAATGTAAGACAAAGTTTATTTTTGAAGAAAAAGGATCTTACGTCTTTTTCTAACTCAGTGACGGTGTCAATTCCATAGTCCAATACCTCTTTGCCATCATCACATTTCATTAGAAGAGCTTGAGCCTGGGTAACGAATGATTCACATTGGAGCTTTACATTCTCTGCCTTGGTCTTTAAAATACCAGCTTGCTTTAAATACTCGTTACAGGAACTCTCTTGTTTTTTTAAATTGTCCATTGTTTTATTTAAATTATTTTCAGTTTCATCGAGTGGTTTAAGACTAGCATCTAATTCTGTAACTTTGTTCATTTTTTCATCGACCTCGCTTTGATGGGATGAAACTTTTCTTACCTTTTCATTCAAGCTATCTGTTAGCTCTCTTATTATATCTGTTACTGCGGCACCAATTGGATTGAAAATGTGATTAAAAGCATCCCAAACGATAGCACCTGCTGAAGTTCTTTTTTCAATCTCTTGTTTTAAGCCGTCAATTTCCGAATTTAAAATTTGAATTTCACCAATTAATATTAATCTTTGAGTATTAATACCGACTTTTTTAACCATAATATCATTCTTAAGAGTTTGGGTTTCCTTAATATTATCTGTAAAAAATAAAATTTTTTAGTTTTTTATTTTTTTTATTATTTTTATTTTTTTATTTTTTTATTTTTTTTATTTTTTAAACATACCTTCAACAATAACAATACAATTAGTATAATTTTCTAAATTTGATTTTTGGACTTGAATAATATAGTCTTGTTTTGAAATAACATTATTACTTTCTTTAATTTGAACATTTAAAGCTTCAATAAGTTTATTAATCTTGATTTTTAATGTTTGAATTTCTGCTTCATCCATTTTAAATGTATTTGTTAAATTATGTTATACTATTTATTAATATTAAGTTTATTTGTAAATAAAAAATAGAAAAATTAAAAAATTTATTTTAAAAAAAAAAATACAAAAATTTTTAAGAGGTTAATTTCAAACACCAAAAAAAAAAAATATAAAAATAATCAGTTGTATATTATTAGGGGGTGGGGTTAATATCTCAACCAATCATTTTTCAAGGGTCAAATTTATATACATATTTTAAATAATTTATGATGATCAATTTGCAAATAATAATAAAAATAATAAAAATATTATAAAAAAATTAATAATTTTATCCCCAATTTATTTTGTTTTTTTTATTTTTTTAATAATAAAGAATTTTTTGAGGAACAGTTTTTAAATGTTATTAAAATTCTCAGATTATATTACACCTAAATCTAATATATGTTATTGTCATATTTTAAATATAATTTATGGCTTGGGTTTTAAATTCTAGCAAGCTGGAAAGAAGGATACCATTCATTTTTGGATTTTTAACCTAAACTTTTTAAGCAAATTAAACAACTGTGGATTTGGTTTTAACTTCTGTAAGAAATGGGCCTCTTTTTTAATTTCTCTTTTAGATAACTCTCTTGTTGCTCTTCTTTGTGTGATGATATTTCCTAGATTAATTTATTGATTATATAGATCTTAATTTCATTCTATTGAGTTATCAAAACTATAAAGATAATCATAATGAGCTTATACAGTATCAATAGCAATTATTGAATTTAAAATTGGTTGAGTTCCTTCCAAAACAATTGCACCTGGTAATGTCTCAACTTTTATTTTGATGTTTTGAGTTATTTCAAGCTTATTCAGGTATTTGTTTTTGTATATTTCTGATTCTTTTTTTTTTTGTATATTTTCTATATAATTTTATTAATGTGTCAATAAATTTTTAAAAAATACATTGATCAAAAAAAAATTATTTTTAAAAAAAATTTAAATAAAAATACCCCATTTTTTTAAAATCAAGTTAAAAAAACCAATTTACCCAACCACCTTTTTAAAAGGTGTTTGGATAATAAATTTTTCACAATACCACACTTTGTGTGTTGTTTGTTTTTATTTCTTTTTCTTTAGAGATTTATCAAAGTGTTTTTATAATTAATAAAAGAAATCATAGATCATTTTTTTTTTTTAGAAAATTACCACATACAAAGCTATTTATTTTGTAGTTTGTACCTAATATTTTTAATTTTTTTTTTTTCTAAAGTAAAAAAATTAATTTTAAAATTGTGCAATTAATTTTTTTTTATTTCTAAAGTATTATTAATAATTGTAATATTTAAATAATAAATAATTGAATAAATTATAAATGTCAAGTCAAAAAATAGTTCCAATTAACTATGTAACAATAGACATTAAAAGTAAGTATAATTTTAAATATTTATTAAAAAAGAAAAAAAATTTTAATAAAAAAATATTTTTTATTTTTTATAGATTGGGATGATATTCCAAAAGCTGTCAATTGTAGCCCAGATGTAAAGAAAGCCGTAGATAGTAACAATATGGTATATACCACTATAAATGTTAGTGATGCAATGATAAAACTTGCCACTGTAGGTGAACTACTTAAAGTTGCTAATGCTGCCTCAAATGGTTTTCCATGCTCAGTCCCTATCATTTCAATTCTTGCAGACTATCAAAGTTTAGTTAACGATACTGTAAATACAACATCAAAGTTTGTTTATTTTTCAATGGCCTCTCTTAGTCAACATTCTTTAGCTCTTCGTATTGTTCAAAAATATCCCCAAAAAGCACTAGCATTACTCGGTAAAACATCTGAAAAGGCTAAAGAGATGTCTGATATTTGTCAAAAACTAATAGACTTAGCAAAGAATCTGGTAGATAAATCTATTCAGGCCCTTAAAATAGCAACTGGTGATCAAGTGGGGGTAATGGAAAAAGAAAAAGAAAATCAAAAACTACAAGATGAATTAAATGAAAAAGCCGCAGTGCTTAGATCTGAAATAGAAGATTTGAAAACCCAAGTCAGTGAATTAAAACAATTGGCTGAAGATGCTGGCAAAGAAGCTGCTGAAGCAAGAAAGTTTGGTATGATTTTACAAATGGTAGATGCAGTGGTACATCCACTTTCTCTTTTAACTGGTCCAATAGTCGATGCATCCCATGGCGGTTCAAACAAATCCAAAATGGATAAAATCACTGGTAAAGAAACACCGGATGCATCACAAAAAATCAAAGAAGAAAAAAAAAAATATCAAACCCAAGTTGATGAAAAAAAGAGAGAATTAGAAAAAAAAGAAGGTGAATTAAAAAAAGTAGAGGCAGAACCAGAATCACCAGAAAAAAAGCAAAAAAAAGAAAAATTAAATAATGAAATTAATGAAATTAAAAATGCAATCAAATCACTAGGTAATAGTCTTGCTAAGGTTATGGATGAAATATCCAATGAATATAAAGAAAAAGCTGCTAAAAGTAATGAGAAAGAGGCTGAATATAGAAAACTAAAAAACCAGTATCAGGGTAATTATAAAAACATTTTATTTATACTGTATTATTTTAATAAAATTATTTACTAATCAAATAAATTCTTTATTTTAAAAGATTTACAACGTAAAGCAAATGCTGATTTAACTGAAAATGTAATAAAGTTAAAATTACTCTCTGATGAAAAGAATTATTTAGAGGTTTCAATTAAATCGTTAGAAATTACAATTAAAACAATGGGAAAAGTATGATTTATTTATATTAATTTAATTTCTATGATAGTACTAATTTTATTAAACCTATAGGTTAAAACTATTTTTGAAAACACCCGTTTATTCTGGCTTCAAGTTCAAAATCAATGTAAAAATTTAATTGATATTTCAAATATTAAAGATTTATCAGAATTTGTTGATATTGATGAAGAATTCCAAATCGATTATTCCAATCAAATTAAAAAATCGGGTTTAAAATGGTTAGCACTTGCTAGTATTAATTATAATGCAGCAAATGCTATCACTAGCGTAAAAAAGAATTTTGATCAAATAATGTCCAATCTTCCGGGTAAAGAAGAAGCCATTCAAATTGTTAATGAGTGTACTGGTAAAATTCAAAAAGCATTAGAAGATGAAAATAAGAAAATTGATAATACTAAAAAACTAATTGAAGCCCAAAACAATAATCCAACCCAACCAGTTAGTGCTTAATTATATATAAAAAAAAAAGAAGAAAAAATTATTTTAAAAATCAACCATTTATTATCTCTTTCAGTAATTTTTTTACTTGCAACTTTTCCAAATTCATAATAAAAGGTTATATAAAATAATGATGGCTTCTACGGCTGAAAGATTTAAATTTAGATTTAGTGATTATAAATATTATTTTTAATAATTTTTTACTTTATTAGGTAAAAAATTATTAAAAAAAAAATGGTAAAACGATTTATTAATTTTTTTTTTTTTTTTTTTTAAAAAATATTTTGATTAAACATTAATTGCAGATTGATTCTCAATTTCAGTTGGTGGAGTTGGTGGTAAAGTAGCTGATATTTGATCGGTATTCATTTCAACTTTATCGATTTCTCTTTCTTCGGTGTGAGTAAATTTGCATTTTGGATTTGTACAATCTTTACCAAACTATTTGAAAATATAAAAAAAAATTTTATATTAATATTAATAATGAAAATAAATTTTAATGAATAGAATAACAATGGGATACTTACTTTACAATCTGGGACTGGTTGTTCTGTTGAATGATGAGCAAAGGTACAATTTGGAGTTACGCAACTAATACCAAATGAGCATGGTTTACCATGACCAAATGGACAATTTCTTCCCATATTACAAGCAGTACCAAATTTACAAGCTGGTGGTGGATGATAGAAACCACAGGTTTTTCTATTTGGACAAGCGAAACCGTTTCTACATGGAATCTCGGCCATAGTTGGAACTGCTGGTCTTTGTGGATGATTATAAACACAATCTGGGTTTGTACAACTTGTTCCATATTTGCATGGAATTGATGGATGAATATATAAACATTTATTACCAAATGTACAATTTGGGAAATTTCTTTATTATTTATTAATTATTTTAATTGATATTATAATAATTATTTTAATATTATCATATTATTTTAATATTATTATCATTATTATTATTGTGTTGTTGAAATAATATTAATATTTTGTTTTTTTGATATTTTTTTCATTTGTATATATTGCCTATATTTAACTAGATTACTTACGAGCATTGAATTGATGGGTGGTGATATATACAAGCTTCGCCATTTCTACAAAGTGGCCAAAATTGACATCTTTCTTTTTTTGATTTTTTTGCTGTTAAATTTTCTAATGGAGAATTGATTGGGTCATCAAGGCTATTATCTTTTGAAATAATATCCTCTTCGTCTCTATTTATATTTTTTCTTTTCTTTGATAAACCATTAGGACTATTACTACCATTATTATCACTGGCTAAACTATTTATATCATTTAATGTAATTGTAAAGTTGGTTTCATTTTTTCCTTTATTTTTATTATGGTGATTATTTGGTTTTTCTTTTTTATTCTTAAACCCAGCATATTTATTATTATTATTATTGTTATTATTAATATCTATATTATCACCATTTTCCTCTGACATTGGTATTCTAATATTCTTTGTGTCATCTGCTGCTTGTTTTGCTGCATTTAAAATTATTCTTTGAGTTGGTTTATTTGAACCATTATCTTTTGGTGAAATTGCAGTTGGTGGTGGTGATGATGTCATGGTTGTATCTACGGCTGGTTTTTGTAATGATTCGAAATATGAAGGTATATAACTCCAAAGCCAAACTAAAAATTCCTTAGCTTTTTCTAAACCTCCTACAAACTCCCAAAGATCGCCTAAAATTTCATCTTGAGTTTTATTATTTCTAACCATAACTGTAATATATTCTGAAACCATATCTTCGCATCCTAAATACTCTTTAACTTTTTTTTGTATATTTGCAACATTTTCTGGTGAATAGTTATATGTTCCTAGTGTTGCCATTTTCCTTTTTTTTAAATAATCTTTTAATTTTTAAAATATATATACTATTGCTATTTTTATTATAAATATATATATATATTACAAAATCTAATTATCTATTTAATTAACTAACTATAAAAAAGAAAATAAAAGATAAAAATAAAAAAAAATTGAAATGAAAAAAATTTTAAAAAAATTTTAAAAAAAATTAAAAAAATTAAAAAAAAAAAAAATAAAAAAAAAAATGAATTTAAAATTTTTTTTCTTTTATATTTTATTTTTATTATTTTTATTATTTTTTTTCAATATGGTTATTTAAGTGAATAAAACCAAAAAGATAATAAAGTAATATAGATTTACTATTTAAAAGTAAAATTGAATTTTTAAAATTCATACACACAAAAGATAATAAAAAAAAATTAAAAATTTTTTTTTTTTTTTTTTTTTTTAATTTTTTTAATTTTTTTTCATTTTTTTTTTCAATTTTTTTTATTTTATTTTTTATTTTTTTTTTTCAATAAATCACATATATATCAACAATAAAATGGATCAACCAAACAGATTAGTCGATCAATCACTTATCACCAAACCATCATTACCAAGATATCCAATTATTTTTAGAGAACCAACTTTTAAACAAACTAGAGATAATTTTAGAGCATCAGATTATGCATTAGCAATTTTTGGACCAATGGCACTTTCATCATATGTCTATTACCAAACTTGTAAGATCAAACATAATTAATGATAAATTTTCAATATACCAGAGAAAAGTCCATTTAAAATCGTTATATTGATAATTGAGAAAAAAAAAATGACATATGGATATTAGTATCAAAAAGCCCAAGTAATATTTTATTAATTTTGTTTTTTTAATATTATTATAGATTTAGATAAAAGAGCAGTTGCTAGATGGTCTATTGTTATTGTTCCAACATGTTATTTTGTTGCAGCTAAACTTTCTTATCGTAGATTAACTGGTGATAAAGAAAACGAAAAAGAATGTAAAAAATATGGTGTTGAATTTGTTAAAAACACAACTCCATTCAATATATAGATAATTTTTAAACAATAGCAACATTAAAATAATAGTAAATAATAAAACAACAACGAATTAAAATGAAACAATCAATTTAATACTAAAAAACATTAATTTAAAAATAACAAAAAAAAAAAAAGCAAAAAAAAAAAAAATGATCGATACAAAATTCGAAATGTTAAATAAACATGTATTTAATTTATAAAAAAAAATTAAAAAATAATGACACAATATAAACAAAATAGTATGGGGGTATTCATTTAATTATTTATTTATTTATTTATTTATTTATTTTACATAAAATCGTTTTTTTTATTTTTTATTTTTAAATTTTTTAAAAAATTTTTTGTATTTAAATATTTTTTATTGTTTTTTTTCATACCCAAAATTTTTTTATTGTTTTTATTATTTTTTTTCATACACTTAAATTAAAGATATAAATATAAAGATGGAAGATAATAATGATCTTGAGAGTGTTAGACAACATTGTATTAAAGTTGGCGCAGCAAAGATCGAGGAAATGTCCAAAGTTCAAATTCAGTCTTGTTTAGATTCATTAAAAGATAAAGCAAACGAAATTACTCAATTATTTGACGATTGTGTACCAAGAATACCTACAAACAATCCTCCTATCTATACATTGGTTACCATTTTTAATTTATTAATAAATGGTGAATTATCTACTTTTGGCGTGGGTATTATTATTTATTACGATATTGTTATATATAACAAAAAATTAATTTTATTTTTATTTTATAATATACAGGACTCAAGAAACAGATGTTGTAAAAATGGAGAAGTTTTATTAAATGAAATGAGAAGTTTCAATGTAAATAATGTCAGTTTTCACACATTTAGTTTATTAAGAGGTTATTTCGAAAATGTTCAAGATAATGTTTTAAATACAGATTTCGTTTTTGAAGAAATTGAACCATATGGTGACGTTGCTGTAGATTTATACGAGTGGTTAGATTCAAATTATACACTTTTATCATTAAAATATAATGATAATGATGAAGATGATGAAATGATGTAAAATTAAATAAAAATTAAAATTTTTTTTGAAACTATCCCGCTTATATTCATAGCTAATTATCATCTTTATATATTTATATAAATTATTATTATTATTATTTCTATTGTTATAATATATTTATATAAATTATTATTATTTTTATTATTTTTATTATTTTTTTATTTTTTTAATCCACATTTTTTTTCTTTTTTTTTTTTTTTTATTAAATTTTTTTTAATTTCCTATATTTTTTTTATATTAACAATGGATAAAAAAAACAATAATAAAAAGAGTACAAAAAGTAATAAATATTCAGACTTTAGTAAAAAAAAAGAAAATAAAGATTATAACTATAGTGGAAATGACAATGTCATTAATAGTGGTGTCGAAAGCCAAGTTAGCAACACTAATCAAAGCTTAATAATTAAAGATAATTACAGAGAAAGTTTAAAAAAGTATTTCGAAAATGACAACGTAAAAATTAGGGAAGAGTTAACCCATTACAATTTAGCATACGATCATACATTTAATAAAGTTTTAGAGTCTGAGTTACTAGCAAGTAACAATGAACTATTATCATCTCTAATTAACTTTCCCGTAAACGAAGAGTTAAAAAACAGTAGTGATATTAGTGATAGGTAAGTACAATATAATCAATATAAGTAATAGATTAAAAACATATTAATTGGTTTTTTCTCTTTTTAACTATTATAGATTATTATATAAAGTTTGGAATAATGTATTTTTAAGAAAAGAAATTCATAGTCATATTTTATCCTTTATTTTATTTAGTGTTGTAAAGTTTGATAATAAATCTCAATATGACCAGTTTAAAGATAAATCATATATATCAACACTTGGGTGGTACAATGATCAACTACCAAATAATAATGAATTACCACCATTTTTGACAGGTTTACATTTGGACGGTTTTTTTAATCAAATATTACCCTCTCCAACAACTTTACCAAATACAATTACTACAATTAGATTCGGTTATGATTTTAACCAAATAGTTCCACCCGGCTCATTACCAAATAGTCTCACTACAATCATATTCGGTTTTTGTTTTAATACAAAGTTAGATGTAGGTTCGATTCCAAACTCTGTAACTAATTTATCATTCTCTTACTGCTATAACCAGCCCTTTGATATAGGTGTTTTACCCCAGTCCCTCAAGTCTTTAACGTAAGTTTTTTACACTAAACTGTATACTGTGCCCCATAACTAACAATATCTATACGTTTAATTAATGTAGTTTTGGCAACTATTTTAATCAAGATCTACCCCGTGGAACTTTACCACCAAGCATCGAATCGCTAGAGTTTGGAAAATCATTTAATAAAGAACTAGAGGCCGGAGCGATACCATCAAGCATCAAATCAATTATCTTTGGTGACTTTTATAATCTTCCATTACCTACAAATTTTTTTTCCTTATCTTCATTGACCAATCTAAAATTGGGATTTTGTTTTAATCAACCCATTAGACCTCATACCCTTCCACCATCGCTCAAGGTTTTGACACTTCTTAGCGATATCAACAAAGTTTTAACAGATAATTGCTTACCATCATCACTTGATAGTTTAAACATAGGTAACAAATCAAATTTTAGTATTAAACATCAAAGTGAAAAACCAAACCAAACAGCATTAGATAGTCAAGATCAGCAGACACTAAATAACCCTTTATTAAGAATCAATAGTTTTATTCAAATGCGTCGACAGCAACAACAACAAAAACAAGGCACCACAACCACAACCACAACATCCATATTCCAACAATAATAAAACAAAATAAAAATAAAAATAATTATAAAAACTATATTTAAATAAAAATAATAAAGTATTATAAAACTTTATTTTAAAAAAAATCAAAAGCAAAAATTTTTATTTTTTTATTAATTATTTTTCTTTTTCTATTTGTATTACTTTTTGATTAATTATAAATTAATTATACATTATTGGTTGGGTTAGGTAAGGACATAAAGAATGCACTAAGTATAATAAAGGTAACTAAAATATGAACCAAAGTTGAAAGGGGTGGTAAAAATGGTTTCTTTTTCTTATTTTTCAATAGATTTGATTTGTCGATTAAGGATTGTTGTTTTGGTGATGATGGTGAGACAGATGATGATGATGATGCCAACGATGATAAATCAGATGTTGCTGTGATTGAATCTTCTTTAACTCTATTTAATAAATTACTATTTAATAAATTATCTTGTTGTTGTTGTTGTTGTTGTTGTTGAATTGGTCTTTTTTTTGGGGAATGTAAAATTTTATCTAAACTTGAACTTTTTTGAATAGTATTTCTTGATGTTGGATTGTGTTCGTTATTTAAACCTTTGACAACGGTATTGTCAATGTAGTCTCTTGAATATGATCTTAACTTTCTAACATTTTGACTACCATTGTTGTTTAGTACTAAACTTTCTATTTGTTTTTGTAATTGTTGAATTTTTTGTTGTTTGTGATGGTGCTCGAATTCGAAATCGTTGTGTTTTCTTTGTTTTTTGAATTTTGAATTATGTGAAACATCCTCATCACTTAAACCCTCCTCTTCATCTCCTTCGTTATCTTCATCTTCATCATACTCATCACTTAAACCTTCCTCCTCCTCTTCTTCGTCTTCATCATAGTACTCTTCATCTTCCTCGTCTTCAAATTCCTCTTCTAACTCTTCAAACTCCTCTTCTTCTTCTTCAAGTGGATTATACTCGTTTAATCTTAATGATTTATTATTATAACCGTTGGTGTTATGAGTAATTGCGATACTATTAGTTGTATTGTTGTTATTCATTTGATGACCTCTAGCATAATATTTAAAACCATCAAGATTAGAAATATAATTAACTTGATCGGTAATTGCTTCCATTAAGGTTGCACCACCACTACTTCTTCTTGGTCTAGATTGTGTAACAGTTGAAGGATCTTGGTAACTCTTTTTCAAATTTAAAAGATGGTTTCTTTTTTGTGAAAATTTCTTTTTCTTTTCTTTGAGTTCATATTTTAAATTTTCTTCGGCGTCATCAATTTTATAATTATTTGTTGACGAACCAGAATTTGGATTCTTTAATATTGATACTGGAGTTATAACTGTGTTGGTTGGTAAAGATGATATAGTGGTTGTTGAACTCGACGATAAAGTTGGTAGGATAGATGGTGGTTGTGATGGTTGAGTTGTGGTAGTGGTTGTAGTGTTGGTTGTGTTGGTTGTTGTTTGCTTATCATCAAGATCGACTTTATCAACAGAAGCAAGAGTATTCGATAAATTTTGAGTAGAAATATAATTGCTTTCTATTGTTTTGGTATTTGAATCAATTGATGATAAATTATTTTTAGATTCATCCTCTGTTGAATGATCGCTCTTTAAGTTTGAATCATTCGTTAAACTATTTGAATCTGATGTGGTTGCTTGGGATGTATTTTTTGATATAAACGATTCTGATGTATTATTAAGTAATGGAGTTGGTGTATCTATTATTGTTTCTGTGGCTGTTGCTATTGCTGTTGTAAGTGTAGGTGTAGGTGTAGATGCAGGTGTTACTGTTGTGGCTGAAATATCTAATGGTGTAAGAATAACTTCACCATTTTCATTTTCAATATTGGTAATTCCATTATGATCTTCATCATTTGATTTTACCTCTAACTCTTGTGATAATGATAAAACAGATGTATTCTAATTATAAAAGTTATATATTAGTATTTGAATATTTAATGTTTTTAATATTATTATTGCTACATACAGATATTAAGGATGATACTAAATAGGTTTCAACAGGAAGTAACTCTTTTTTAAATGCGCAATAATGAACATATTCTTTAACTAAAATTGGTATACCTAAAGAAAGAGCTTGTTGAACTTTTTGTGTCTTCTCTATATAACCTTGTTTTGTGGTGATTAAATGTGTCGCCTTTAATAATAATTAGTATTATTTTTAAATTTTTATAAAACATAAAACAGTTTTATAATTACCTTTGTGCATGAATAACAACTTTTGCCTCCATTCTTTTTAATAATCTTTACTAACTCCATTTTCCTTTTGAGATTAATAGTTATATCAATAACAAAACCCAAGTTTTCGAAAATATTTGAATTTAATTGATTTTCATCTTGATGAATTTCTGTTGAACTCGATAAATCTTCATTATTATTATTATTATTATTATTGTTATTCGAATTGGAATTGATAACTATTGGTGAAAATGATGATGATTGTGAGGATGATCTAGTTTTATTTATTGGTTGCGATGATGATGAGGATGATGATGGTGATGATGATAACACTGTTTTTGGACTTGTAGGTCTATGATTTGGTTGTGATGTTGATGTTTGTGAATTTTTAATTTTATTGTGGTTATTATTAATATTATTATTATTAACAATATTATTATCTATTGTTATTGCTCGATTAGAATGATCTATTGTACTATAATCCAAATCCATGATATATTCTCTTGTGCTATTGAACACATGTTATATATATGTTGGTTTTTATTTAAAGGTTTTTTTTTTTTTTTTTTTTCTTTTATTTTTTTTTAATAAAAAAAAAATAAAAAAAAGAAAAAAAATTAAGTTTATTAATAAAAATTATATACAAATAAAAAGAAATTTAATTATATATAAAATAAAATTTAAAATAAAATTATTATAATTATATTATTATAATTTACAAAAAAAATAATACAATTGTAATAATGAGTTGGGAGCAAAGATGGATGTGTGAATAAATAAAATAAAAAAAAAATAGAAAAAATTTAAAAAAAATTTAAAAAAAAAAAAAAATTTTAAAAAAAGATTTTTTTTTATTTTTTTTTTTTTTCAACAATATTATGGCAAACAAGGGATGGTTTTTTGTGTGTTAACACCAACATCCTTTTTGATGGTATCATTGGAACAAAAAAAAAAAAAAAAACTCGTTTTTACAAAAAATGAAAACAAAAAATGTATAACAATCTTTTTTTTTTTTTTTTTTTTTTTTAATTTTTTTTATTTTAATTTTTTTTTATTTTTTTTTTATATGTATAATATATATATAAATTAAGAAATGATTTTTTTTTTTATGACAATAAATTAACTAATTTTAAATTATTAAATTAAAATGAATTAATTTAATGGCCATGGCCAGCATGATCATCACCTTGAGCTTGTTTTGGTGTTAAAGTGATCATATCATCGATTCTTAAAATTGTAATGGCAGCTTCGGTAGCGAATTTAATACATTTAACTTTGGCGACGGCTGGTTCTAAAACACCAGCTTCAACGTTGTTTTTAACTTTACCAGCAAATAAATCTAAACCAGAGTGAGCATATGATTTTTTAGTGCTATCAGTTTGAGCGACGTGGTGGTATGATCTTAATTTGGCGACTAAATCGGTGGCATCTAAAGCAGCGTTAACAGCTAATTGTTTTGGAATAACAAGAAGAGATTCGGCAAATTCAGAGATGGCTAATTGTTTACGTGAACCCATAGTAGCGGCAACATTATCTAAATAGATGGAGAGGGCAGATTCAACAGCACCACCACCTGGTACGATGGTACCAGATTCGAGGGCACGTTTAACAATACATAATGAATCGTGAATGGAACGTTCCATTTCGTCTAACATTAAACTGTTGGCACCTCTAAGAATGATTGAAGCAGCTTTTTTATTTGAGTTTTTAACGACGATTAATTCATCATCAGCAACACGGTCTTGTGAAACTTGATCGGCGGTACCTAAAGCGGTTGGATCGAATGATTCTTCACCATCGAGATTGGCTAAAGTGATGAGAACAGTACCACCACAAGCTTTGGCGATTCTTTTGAGATCTTCTTTTTTACAACGACGAACGGCCATACAACCAGCTTCGACAAAATATTTCAAACATAAATCATCGATACCTTTAGTTGTGAGGACAACATTGGCACCAGATTTAATGATTAATTGAATACGTTCCTTAATGATATCATTTTCTCTGTCTCTAATGGCTTCGAGATCGTTAACATTGGTAACGACAACCTTTTGACCTAATTTCATTTTAGTTTTGGCAAGGTTGAAATCTAAAAAGGCGATTTTAGCATTTTGAACACGTTTTGGCATACCTTCAGCAGCGACGGTACAATTGAGAGCATAACCTTCAACTAAAATACTTTCTTTAGCACTTTTACCATGAGCCTTTAAAATGTTGATAGAGTTAACTGGATATTTAGCGTCACCTTTGTAATCGATAGTTTTAACACGGTTGATGGCTTCGACAACCATTTTTGAAAAGAAATCACTGTCGTCATTAATGGTTTTTGAGGACATTGAAGTTTTTGCTGTATTTACAATGAAATCTTTTGGTAATGTATCAACTTTTATTGCTAATTCTTCATTGATATATTTGATAGCTTCTTGACAAGCGATACGATAACCACTAATAATAACTGTTGGATGAATTTTACGTTGAACTAATTCATTGGCTCTCTTTAAGAGTTCTGCTGCTAAAATAACTACTGAGGTTGTACCATCACCAACTTCTTGATCTTGTAAATCTGCTAATTGAACTAAAACTTTTGCTGCTGGATGTTCAACTTCTAACATTTTTAAAATTGTTGCACCATCATTTGTAATGGTAACATCACCAATATTATCTACTAACATTTTATCTAAACCAATTGGTCCAAATGATGTTTTAACAATATTTGCAATTGCTGTAACAGCAGTAACTAATAATTTGATTAAAAAAAAAAATAATGATTTTGAATTTGTAATAAATTTTTTTTAAAATTTGATATTTGAAATTAATTTATATTTATATTTATATTAAAATAAAGAAAAAAAAAAAATTAGTATAATTAATAATTATGTCATTTATATAATTAATTATTATTATTATTATTATTATTATTATTATTATTATTATTATTATTATTATTATTATTATTATTATTATTGTGTCGGATTGAGATTAGGTGTAATGAATGATTTTTATATTATTAAGTCTGATTTTATATCCATTGTCATTATTGTAGTTGATATTGCTGTTGTTATTATTATTACTATTGTTTTAAAATAATGTAGCTGTGTGTGGGGGGTTGTGTATGCATATGACTTCATACCATTTTGATTTCTAACATCTTGACCTGAAATACGATCACCATCAATCATTAAAACTTTATTACTCATTTTGATCTTTTATATGTTTTAATATATTTAAATTGATACAACAAATATTGATTGATTGATCCTTTTTAAAGGTTTAATTTAAATTTATTATTAATAGTTTTTTAAAAAAAAAAAAGAGAGTTGGTGTATGAAAAAACTAAAAAAAAAAAAAAAATTTAAAAATCAAATTCAAAAAAATTTAAAAAAAAATAAAAAAAAAAAAAATTGGAAAAAAAAATAAAAAAAAAAATTAAAATTTTTTTTTTTTTTTTTCATTGTTCAATGTAAATTAATAGATGTACAACCATTATTTTTTATATTTATAAAATTTAATCAATCACAATACCCAATTAAATAAATAAATAAATATATAAATAAATATAAGGAAACTTGAGAATAAAAATAAAAAATAAAAGAAATATAAATCATAATTTTTTTTTTATTTTTTATTTTTTCTTTTTTTTTTTTTTTTTTTATGTAAAATATATATTTTATTATTTTTTTAATTTTATTTTGTGTATTTTATTTATTTTGTGTACTTGTTAAAAACATCAATTTTTTATCACTTTATTTTAATATAATTATTTTTTTTTAAACAAATAAAAATTCTACATATAAAAAATATTCGCGGTTAAAGTTTTTATTTTTTTTTTTTTTAAAAAAACAAAATTTAAATTTTTTTTTTTTTATTTCATAATTTATTTAAAGACTGTATAATATAAAATATAAAATAAAATGATTAAGGCAGCAAAGAAAACCAATGTAGCATCAACATCAAATGATGCCTATACACCACTTTACACCAATGTTCCAGCATTTAATTGTAATATGTCACAAATTGAAAATTTTTGTATAGATAGATTTAATTGTAGGTAAACATATTAGTATTAATATCAGTAATAATAATTAATTTAATAATAATTAATAATACTAATAATTAATAATATTAATAACTTTTTATTTTTATTTTTATTTTTATTTTTAGTATTAAATGAAATATTATCATTAAAAGATACATCATTGAAACAAGCAACAACATCAGATCAACATGATTTTTATGAATTATCAAAAAAATATTTAGGTTCACAAAAAGAAGAAATTTTTAAAATTAAAGACGAACTATCACATTATTGTCTTAGAATTGCAATGTGTGATTCAGAGGATAGAGATTGGTTTATAACATCAGAATTAGCATTATTAAAACATAGATTACCAAATGACTTAACCCACTTTATAACAACTTATTCAGATTTTGGTTGGTATCCAGTATCTGAAGATGAATATAAACTATTAGCAGACGATTTAGATTATTTAGTTGTAAAATCAAATTTAAAATTACAAGATCCAATCGGACCAACACATTTTTATAAAGTATATATTATTATCATCAAAGTGTATACAAAATGTATATAAATAATATATTCATATTAAAATTAATTTATTATTTTAAATTCTTATATAGATACCATTTCAAGATATACCAAATTTAATCGATTTAAAAAAAGTAATTATTAAGAAAGGATATGCATTTGTTTTTAGATCAAATTTCAAAGATTTAATTGCAAATACATATAAAAACTATTTAGAATTTGCAATGGATCGTGTAAAAATCGATAAGAATCGTATTAGAGAAGAGTTCCCAGAATTGATTCAATTCTTTAAAACATTACCAAGAGCTGGTGAATTGGGATTAAATAAACAGTTCCTCAAATCAACTCAAATCAGAAAAGAGGATGTCTTACCACTTTCAAAATCATCCTTCCCACTTTGTATGAGAGTTATGCACGACTCATTAATCGGCAATGCCAAATTAAAGCACGAAGGTAGATTACAATTCAGCACCTATCTTAAAGGCATCGGTTTACCATTTGAAGAGGCAATCCAATTTTGGAAAATGGCATTCTCAAGAAGAGTTTCAAACAATGAATTCGATAAAGAATATGCCTATACATTACGTCACACCTATGGTTTAGAAGGTAAAGCCGTCAGCTACCATCCATACAGCTGCTCTAAAATCATCGCTAAAATCCCTTCTGGTATCGATCAAGTACATGGTTGTCCATATCTTTGGGACACTGAAAAGCTTGCTAATAAACTTGAAGAAATTGGTATCTCTGAATTTGAAAGAATTCAATTGATTGAATCTTCAAAAGTCCAACCAAACATAGCTTGTACAAAACATTTCAATATTTTACATCCAAGTAATAATTTTTCAAAAGTTATCTCTCATCCAAATCAATTCTTTGAAGCCAGTCGTTTGTATCACAAAAAACTTGAAGATTCAAAAAAAATTAAAAAAGAAGAAAATGAAAAAGATAAATAAAATAAATTATATATTATAAAATAAAAATAAAAATAAATAAAATATATATTTAAATATGGAAAAGACTTTGAAAAATTTCCATTTCTCATACTAATTTTTATATGTAAAAAAAAAAACCTCTCTCATTAAATTTTTGCGTTTGGCAATTGCCATTTATCATTTTATATGTAAATAAAGACCTTTAAAAAAAAAAAATTAAAATTAAATTTAAATTTAAATTTAAAATTAAAAAATAATAATTTAAATATTTAAAAAAAAAATTATTTTTTTACGTCTGGCAATTGCCAGCTTTCATTTTATGTGTAAAAAAATATCCACAGCCAGTTTTCATTTTATATGTAAAATTTTTGCGTCTGGCAATTGCCAACTATCATTTTATATGTAAAAAAAAAATTTTAAAATTAAAATTAAACAATAAAAAAAATTTTAAAATTAAATAATTTAAATATTTAAATAAAAAAATTATTATTTTATATAAATTTATTAATTATGCTTTATAAAATAAAATAAATTAAATTAAAATAAAATAAAAGTAATAATAAATAAAACTCTTGTTTTTTGGGTAAAAATTAAAGTCTTATAAAAAAGATTTTTATTTTTATTTTTTTTTTATGGCATGCCTGAATTTTTTACACAAATTTATGTAAAAAATATAGGTATGTAAAAATTCTTTCGGTTTTTTATTTTTTTTTAAATTTTTTTTAAAAAATTTTTTACAAACAAAATTCTAAAATTTTTTTTTTTATTATTTTTATTGTTTGTAATAATCAACACCGGAGGTAACTTTTCCCGTAGTAACTAAAGATGGTTTCAGCTAAAAAAATGTACGCATAAATTGTATCAATAATAAAATGTTAAAAGTATTTACACATTAATGTAAATATACTTAATGTTGATCCAATTAAAAATATAAATATTTATTTCTATAATATTGTTATATATTATAAAAATAAAGAAAGGTAAAAAAAAAAAAAAAAAAACGAGAAAAAAAAAAAAAATAATAACAGTAATAATAATAATACAAATAAAAATTAGTAACAAAATATAAAATAACAAGGATAAATAATTGATAATCAATAAACATATACATACAATTTAATTAAATAATATTGAATAAAAAACAAAATAATTGATAAATCATAATAACAACAATTCAATAACATTCAAGTTTTTTTTTTTTTTAACCTACTTCTTTAAATATTTTATTTTAATTGGACCAACATAATTTATATATATTTTTTGGATGACAAAATATTAATTAAATTCTTTTTTTTATTTCTTTATAGCCGTAAAACTCAAGAAAACATTGGCTCAAAATTAGCCCTCGTCATGAAATCTGGTAAAACCCAATTAGGTTACAGATCAACCATCAAAACCTTAAGAAATGGTAAAGCCAAATTAATCATTTTATCAAACAATCTCCAAAGCGTCAGACGTTCAGAAATTGAATACTATGCTATGTTATCAAAAACCGCCGTTCACATCTACAACGGTAGCAATGTTGACTTAGGTACCTCATGTGGTAAACACTTCAGAGTTGCTTGTCTCTCAATTACTGATGGTGGCGATTCAGATATCTTAACTACTTTTGCCAAATAAATTTAAATAAATATTAATTTTTATTTAAAAAAAAAAAAACTATTTGTATCTTTTATATTTTTTCACAAATTTTTTTTTTTTTATAAAAATATGATCGAAGTGAATCTATTTATAATTAATGTTTATTTTTATTAATATAATCATTTACCAACAGTCCAATTGTAAAGTTGTAAAATTGTTTTAAAACCACACATCACCAAATTATTTGGTGGTATATTTTGCAAAAACAAACAAACTGGAAGAATTTTTTATTTTTTATTTTTTATTTTTTATTTTTTATTTTTTATTTTTTATTTTTTCAATTTGTGTTTTTAAAAAATATAAAATTTTTTTTTTTAAAACGTACAAAAAACCTACCATTGAGCCATGTCTTTTTCTCAAAGAATATAATAGTATATGATGTTCTTAACAAAAAAGAAAAAAGAATAAACAACAAATATACATTTTTTTCTTTAAATAAAAAACCTTTATATATTTTCAATTTTATTTTAGTAATAATATTTTATAATTTTTAATCAGCAAAGATAGTGAAACAGTATTTGGAGGAAAATAATATTCAAGTGATCCATTTTTGATTTCGTTTTTATATTATTATTTAAAACACAAAGATGCATGTGCCTATATTTAGTATCAAAAACTTTTGGAACTGGTTATCCAACCGGTATCAAATAATCCCTCATTATTGGGATTTCTGTAATAACCCAAATTACAATGGTAACAATATGGGCCAGAAAGGGTCATTATTTTAATGTAAGTTTTTTTTTAAATTTTATTATGTGTATATATATAATATCTTTTTTTAAAAGGACATTTTACATTTCGATTTACCACCAGATTTTTTTATGCAATAAATTCAAAAGGGTGATTTAAAAACATTGTAATTATTAAATAAATTTTTTAAGTTTGTGATGCTAAGCAACCATTTAAATTATAAAAAAAATCCATTCATTTTATTTAATATCGGAATAAAATTGAGATATTAATTTTTAATTTTAATGAAGATAATCAAAAAAAAAAAAAATATTTTATATTATAATAATAAAATGTAGAAGCTTTAAAGAAAGTTAGTAAAATTTTAAATTACATTGAAACTTCTATTGAAAAAATTAAAAATTTTATAAAAGAAATTTAATTTATTATTTTTTATTTTTTTGTTTTATATTTTAATAAAATTTTTAATTTTAATAAGAAACTATCTGTCACTGTTCACTTGCCTACTTTAAAAATCTACATTCAAAACAACGGAATTCAAAACTTCCATTATTGGTTGCGCAGTTAATAAAAATAAATTTATGGTTAATATAATAATATCAATCTATTACAAGTTTTAAAAGTAAACATACTATTTATAAAATTTTGAGTGGTTTGTTTAATTTGTGGTTGTTGTGCATGATGTTGAATCTTTTGTTGATCCCTATTATTAAAATCTATAAAAAATAGTTAGACACTGCATCACTACAATTATAATATTTATTAAAACTATCTGATACCTACTCCTTTTTTTAACAAATTACTATATTTTATAATAATTTCATAATTGGTTTCTAGTTTTATATCATTTAATATTTTTCAAAACCAATTATTAATTTTTTTAATCTATTTTCATAGATTTTTATTAAAGATCTAAATGTAAATCTATACTTTGGATACAGATAAAAAAAAAAAAGCTAATCTGTTTGGCTGAGCAGGACTAAAAAACTAAGCTGATTGGATTGATATTTTAACATTGTTATTACTATTTTGTTGTAGAGGTATCATTGCTCCTGTTCTATTAACAACGTGCTTCTTTGTGCTTTTATATTTGTGTAGAATAAACTGGTTTTTATTAATTTATTTGGGAATAGTCGTATAACGATTTTGATCCATACATTACTAAATTAATAAAAAATAAAAAAAATTTAAAAAAAAAAAAAAAAAAAAAATTAGAAAATAAAAAAATTTTTGAATTATAATAAAGAATCTATAATTTCCTTAAGTAAATAAAATATTATAACCAAATTGGGTATACTTTTTTAGAAATTTTAATCTATAGTTATCATAAAAGGAAACACACATCCCTAATAAAAATTTAAACCTTTAATAAAAAAAAAATTTCTGGATAAAAAATAGAAAATAGTTTTTTATTTATTAAAATTTCTAGATAAAAATATTAATTTATTTAATCTATTTATTTTTTTGTTTTTTTTCTTGGTTGATTGAAAATTGTTCTTTTTGTTGTTTGAATTAGTATAAAATGAAAACTTTCTTTTACGAGTTTGCCAGTTAGTCTATTCAATTCTTTTAATCATTTACACATATCAACTGTGGCATGAGAGGCACAAGTGGCTGAAGGGGCTGGAATTATAGGTAAGGATCGATCCAAAAAAAAAAATCTCCCGGAAGAATTTAGGATTTTTTGGATCGAAAAATGAAATAAAGGATTTAAAAAATCCTAAATTTTAATGATTTTGGATCAAAAAAGGATCAAAAATAAATAAAAAAATTAAAAAAAAAAATTAAAAAAAAAAAAAAAAATTTTATTTTAATTATTATTATACATTATTATTATACATTATTTATACATTATTTATACATTATTTATACATTATTTCTTTGTTTACAACTTTTCTTGTTGTTGTATATTTAGATTGTGCCTTTGATCTGGATGAATTTTTGGGGGTTGTGGGACTGTAATCATATGATTATTCATATGAATAAATAGTATTTTCATTTTCGATTTCAATAAATGATTCTGTTATTTTTTATTTTTATAATTAATTATTTATTTATTAATAAATTTATTGAAGAAAGTATTTTAATAATAGAAAAAATATTTTCAGTTCTATTTGGTAAAATAAAAATTAGACGTTTTTTTATACAAAAATTTTATTTGAAAGACTTCATATAAAGTTAATTTTTTTTTTTTTTTTTTTTCACAAAAGACATTTTTTTAAAAAAAAAAAAAATTTTGTTATTTTTGATCATTTTCAAAATTAAAATAATTTTTTTTTTTTTTTAATTTTTTTATTAAATTTAATAAGCACGAAATAGTCTCTGAAAAAGACACGATTCCTCCATATAAATTTTGTATATTCAATTAAAAAAATATTTTTTTTTTTTTTTTTTTTTTCGAAATTTTAAAAAAAATTCCTTGAACCAAATTTATGATCATTAAAAAATTTATTTTTATTAAAAATATATTAAAAATTTTTTTTTTTTTTTTAAAAACCCCATCATTTTTATAAAAAAAAAACAAAAAAAAAAAAAAAAATTTTAATTTAAATAAAAAAGACTGAATATTATTTAATAAAATTACAATTAAAGTTATGTGTTAAAGGTTTTTTTTTATAAGATTCAAAAATACACGATTTATATGAAGGATTTTTTTAGGATCGAGTTTTAGGAAAAAGGATCCGGATTTTTTTTCAAAATATAGGATTGATCCTAGTTTTAAACCTCGATCCTGAGCTATAGCTGGAATATCTCTTTTGGGCTACTTTCTAAAGCTTCTATATTTTTTATACTAATCACTGTGTCCAACAATCTCTTCTAATTTCTAACCCGATTCGAGGTAAGCTTGTTGCTTTTAATGGATCATCTATATAATCTACACCTTTAATAAGTTTTTTTTTTTTTTAATAGTTTTTTTTTTAATTATTATTATTTGTTTCTGTTATTTTGAAAATATAAAGAATGATTGGAAAAAAAAAAAAAAAAAAAAAAAAATTTTTTCAAAAATTTTTTTAAAAAAATTTAATTAAAACCCCACCACACACAATTTCTTTTTTTTATAAAAAAATTAATTAAAAAATAGATAGAACTGTTTAATTATTCCCATAAAAAATTTACATTTCATTGCTTCATATAAAAAACTTTTTTTCAATAATAATATTTGTAAAATTTTAGTTAGCTTTACTTACAGATAAACTATTATAGTTTATAAAACGAATCTTTAGCTACTTTAATTTCTACCACTGCATTATCGCTTATTGTTTTTTGGATAAGCCAGTGTATAGATATGTTCACATATATAGCGGCTATATTATATTATAGCCTTGCAATGATTATATGTGACATATAATGTTAGGATCGAAATATCCAACATAGTAATTGTACACTTGGAAAAATTCGAATACGGGGGGTTTATTTGTTCCCTGGGCTAAGACTTATCCAAAAATTAATTCTTTTAAAAAAGAAGAAGGCGATAATGCATAATAGTAAAGAAAATAAAATATGTGTATGATTTCGTTCTTACCCAGTTTATCTTCCCGGTGATCAAATGTCAATAATAATAATAAATGTCCACAAGTTATATTAATAAATAAAAAATATTTTATATTGATATTAATATTTTTTATATATATAAAAAAATAATTTAATAAAAATAAAATAGATTAAAATAAATTTTTTCATCTTTTTTCTTTTCTTTTTTTTTTTTTTAAATTAAAATTTTTTTTTTTTTTCATTATCTCATTGATAACTACGATTATAAATAAATTAAATATCTTCTTTTTTTTTTAATTAAAAAGATTAACCCTTTTAATTAAAAAAAAAAAAACACCGTCTTTGATAAATTCATTTAGACCCAAAAAAAAAAAAAATACTTTCATTTAATTTTTTTTAATTTTATTTTTTTTATTTTTTTTATTTTTTTTTTATTTCCACCAATGAAAGTCACAAAGAAGAAGAATGGATTGATATCTTACCTGTTTTATCTCAAGCCTGAACACTAAAAGGAGGCAATAAATTTAAGCTTGACTGTACAAATTGCTTTGGATTGCTAGTTTGAATTAAATGAAAAATAAATTAAAAAAAAGTTTAAATAGAGTTTTAAAATTTATTTAGAATATGCAATAAAAAAAATTAAATTAATTTTAATAAAAAAGGTACAATAATTTCCTTTTGTAAATATAATAGATTATATCCATACTGAGTGAAGGGTACCCTTTTTTGTACATTTTATTAAATTTTAATCATACTGATAGCAAAAGTAAGTAATAATCATCTATTTATTTTTTAAACACACCCCTAAAAAATAATTTAATTATAAAAATATAAAAATAAAAAAAAAATAATTAAATTATAACTCCGCCACCCACTTTTTTTTATTATTATAAAGAGTGGATAATATATTTGGAAATGAATTGATAGATTTTATTTTTTTTTAATTAAATAAAAAAAACCAATTTTATAAATCATTGAAATTTTTAAATAATGATGCCAACTGTTCAATTTAAACAAAAATATTATTATTACTATTTTAATGTGTATTTCAAAAAACAATTGATGATTTAATATATTTATTATAATAAATTATAAATTTAAAACAATATAAAGAAATAAAAATAAAGTAGAGTTAAATTTTATGATTTTATAAACTTTTAATTAATAAAATTAATGATGATAAGATAACAAAGGAATAGGACCAAATTGAATTTAAGCTAGCTTCGCTTGAAAATGGAACAAAGTCTGTATCCAATGTATAATGAGGTCCAATTACAGCTTCTTTTCCTATAAAAATATTATTAAATATTTTAACTTTGATATAACCCTCACTGTATACCAAAGAGTTGTAAAAGAAAGTACTATTATTGTTTTCCATTGTAAGAAAGTAAGGATACTGTCTTCGACCACTAAAATATACAAGATTAGCAACATCTCTTGGGTCAGAATTATGGGTAATTTGTGAATTTCTCATTGTGAAATAGACATAACCATCATGATAAAGACCAATGATGTAACCATTTTCTGAAACACCATTTTCTTGATTATAGGAAATATTTTTGATAGTGATATTGGTATCGCCACGGTCATTAGGTTCAGTAATCTTCAATAGTGATCTAAATTCAGAGTTGCTGTTGGTAAAATTGGTTCCTTCGAAATATACTTCACTAGGAAGGGAAAATTCAAAGATACCAGTTTGATATTTGGATCGTAATGAGAATGTAAATTGTGAATCTTGAATTAATAATGAGGAACTTTCATTAAATCTGAAAGTGGAACCACCGTATTCAAATGAAGAGCCCTTTATTTCAACCTTTCCTGGACAATTACTCTTTAAAACATTAACTCTTTGACTGTCTGTAAATTTGCATCCTATGATTGAAACTGATTTAGAATTAATAATAAAATCATCCTCTTTACTGTCTGGATCTTGACCGCTTTGGATACCTGATATTTTGCTGAGTTTGTTAAACTGATTTGCTTCTAATTGTAAATTGACAAATCTGTCTTCATCACCTGTAGCTACAAGAGTATCAAAGTCATTAAAGATAAAACCTTGCAACTTAACATTGCCAAAAGTTGTAATAAAAACTTGATCTTGATTTCCATTTCCGTTGATTTGAATCTTTGGGAGTGAAGCAACTGGCTTAGATGGTGTACTGCTTTCGGCTACAGTAATTAAAATTGATTCAAATTGATTAATTTCTCCAAAATATTGTGTTTGACTATTAACTTGAATAACACTGCTACCTCTATTTAAAACATAGACGTTTAATTGATCAAAACTGGATGGAGTTGTTGATCTTATTCTATCACCGGCTTGACTGAATGACCCACATGGTGAGAGGGCCCCACCACAAACTGCATCACCATTATTACTTTTTAAATCTATAAAAATATCTAAAGCATTACCATTACATATATAAATAAAGCTTATTAAATAAATAAACCCAATTATGATTAAATTTTTATTATTACTATACATTATTACTATTTATTTATTAAAATATTTGAAAAAAACAATTTATAGAATTTTTTATTTTAAACAAAAAATTAAAAATTATAAAATAAAAAAAATAAATATCAATACACAAAATTGTGCAAAGGATTTCTTATGGCAATTTTTTTTTATTATCTGAAAATCAATAAAAATACACTTTTAAAAGTGACAGATATTTTTTTTTATCACCTTGTTGTCTTAAAAATTAAGGAAAAATTCAATCCAATAAATGTCAACCAATTTATATAAATTAAAATATTAAAAAAAAAAGTTGAGGATTTTTAATTAAAAAAAAAAATAATTTTATTGATGAAATATATACGCAATATTTTTTTTTTTTTTTTTCTTTAAAAGTGAGGATTATTACTATTTAAGTAAAAAAATTTGGGTTTGTTTGGTGGATAGTTTCTGATGAAATTTTTTTTTATAAAAATTTTATTATAAAAAAAAATTAAAAAAAAACTAAATTATTTTTTTTTTGTAAAAAAAAAAAACCATTTTATTAAAATATTATTTTCAAGCTATAAATCAATAAAATGGTGGCAGCCATAGAATATTTCTCTATGGTAGTAGAGATTTGGTTTCCTGTAGAGCTTATATTACCATGGGCTGAAGGTAATACCAATAGGTTCATTGAAAATATTATAAATTGATGCAATTATAAACATAGTTTAGTTATGTTTTTCGCACACACCCACAACCGATAGGTCCTCAGTCCATTTATAAGTCTATACTTTTCAAGTATTTCCCATTTCTCTAATTGACACCAAGCTCTTTATATTAGAGAACGATATTTTGAAATTCTTTGGTTTAATTCACCCTTGCATTTTGAATATATTGGAAATATAACATTTTTACAGTATTAAAAATAAAAAATATAATAATAAAAACAATAACACCACAAATGCTATTAATACTTGATTAGTGATTAATCGATAATGATATTTAGGATATGTTGGTTTAATAACACACACTTCAATAGACTATTTTTTAATAGTTTTTTTCAAAGAGCAATGGATGATTTAAAATAAAAAACTATAAATTTTAAAACAAAATAAAGTAATAAAATAAAATTAAAGTAGGGTTAAATTCTATGATTTTATAAACTTTTAATTAATAAAATTAATGATGATAAGATAACAAAGGAATAGGACCAAATTGAATTTTGGCTAGCTTCACTTGAATATTCACCTGGAACAAAGTCTGTATCGATTGTATTAGAACCACCACCATTTACAACATTCTCGGCTGAAAAAATATTTTTTAATATTTTAATATCGGTTTTACCCCCAGAGAATACCAAAGAGTTGTAAAAGAAAGTACTGTTATTGTTTTCCATTGTAACTGTATTTGGATTCTTTTGACTTGTACTTATGTACACAAGATAACTAACATCTCTTGGGTCAGAATTATGGGTAATGTGTGAATTGTTCATTTTGAAATCAAAAGTACCTTCATGATTTAAACCAAACATGAAGGTACCAGATTGCGAACCACCGTTTTCTTGATTATAGGTAACACTATCGATAATGTAGTTGGTATCGGCACTTTTATCATTTTCGATAACATTTAATAATGATCTATATTGAGAGTTGCTGTTGGTAATATCACCTCTTTTGATATTGATTAAACTAACATGGTTGCATTCAAAGATAGCATTTTGAAATTCGGATTGTGATGAGAATGTATATACTGCATCTTGAATATATAATGAGGAGCTATTATAAAATCTGAAAGTAGAACCACCGTAATCAAATGTAGTACCCTTTATTACGACATTTCCTGGACAATTGCTCTTTAAAACATTAACCCTTTCACCATCTCTAAATTTGCATCCTATGATTGAAACTGATTTAGAACCAACAATAAAATCATCCTCATTGCTGTCTGGATCTTGACCACTTTGGGAACCTGAAATTTTGCTGAGTTTGCTAAATTGAACTTCTTCTAATTGTAAATCGACATTATAGTCATCGATAACTACAAGAGTGTCAAAGTCATTAAAGATAAAACCTTGAATTTTCAAAATTAAATCATTTACATGTTGTTTGCCAGATTTATTATTAATTGTAATAAAAACTTGATCTTGATTTCCATTTCCGTTGATTTGAATCTTTGAGACAAAACGAACTGGTTCAGATGGTGTACTACTTTCGGCAACAGAAATTAAAATTGATTTAAAGTAATCTATTTTTCCAAAATATTGTGTTTGGTCATTAACTTGAATAATACTTTCACCACTATTTAAAACATAGATGTTTAAAACCTCGGCGTCATAGTTATACCCTGGATCGGCAGCTACAATTGATCTGATTCTATCACCGGCTTGACTGAATGACTCACATGGTGGCAATGTACCGCTTGCTGTGAGTGCCCCACCACATACTGGATCACTATTACTACTTTCTAAATCTATTATAATATCTAAACCATTGCATATATAGATAAAGCTTATTAAATAAATAAACCCTATTATAATTAAATTTTTATTATTACTATACATTATTACTATTATTTATTTATTAATCCATTAAAAAAAAAAAAACAATTTATAGAATTTTTTAAACCAAAAAATTTAAAAATTATAAAATAAAAAATAAAAAATAATATCAAATACACACAATTGTGCAAAAGATTTTTTTTTGGTACTGTTTTTAAATTGTCTGAAAATCATTAAATATTTAAAATTATATTTTTAAAAACGACTGATATTTTTTTTTTTCATCACTTCGTTGTCCTAAAAATTTAAGATAAATCCACTTAATAAATGAGCACCGTTTTGTGTTGAGCAATAAAATTAAAGTTTCAAAAAAAAAAAAAAAAAGTGAAGATTTTTTTATAATACAAAAAAAGTTTATTTGTTGATGAAATATACGCCATATTTTTTTTTTTTTTTTTTTTTTTAAAATTGTGCTATATTTATATATTTAAATTTTCAAGTTCATCCAAGACCATTACTTCATCTTCTTGGAAAAAGTATTTTTCTCCTATTAGTTCAAACTTATCCACATTTTCATCTGTAAAATTCTCTAAATAGCAAGCAATATCTAAGAAACCTGCATCTTGAAACATTGATAACATTGGATTACTATCTGGACCATAAGGAGCAACACTAAGACCTGTTGCTAAAATTCTATCGATACTGTCCAATATAGTACCAATAACAATATTATCTAAAGTATCGATCCTCAAAAGATCGCATAAATGCTTGATGGAATTTAAATTCACAAAGTAAAGGATTTGCTGGGTGGTACCTCCCGCAATGCCATTACAAAGGGCCCAAATTGCTTCTTTTTTAACATCAATATCTTTTTCTTTTGATAAGAGGGAGATTAAACTTGGAAATACATTGAAATCGATTAATGCTTGAATTTGAATTGAGTTACCTGCGGCAGCATTACTAATAGCCCAAGAAGCTTCTTTTCTAACATTCTTTTTTTTGTGGTTTAATAAACCAACAAAATGTGGAAGAACACCCCTATAATTTAATATTTTTTGAGTTTGATTATCGTCACCAGTCAAAATATTACCAACAAAACGTAAAGCGGGTACTTGAATTGATAAACTAGGATGGTATAGGAATTCAATCATCTTTTCTACCAGTGATTCATAACTGAGAATAAAATTCAAATTATCATTAGTGGTATCAGAAATCCATGACATTGACCAACAAACATCAGTGCAAATATCTTCATCAGTATTTATAAGGATTCTTTCAAAATATGGAATTAGAATTGAAACTGTTGAAAAAGGTGGCTGTGGTTTACCTCTGCATAAATTTTGAACTTTAAAATAGTTTATTAGTATTTAATTCAATTGATTTTATTATAAAGGTATTATTATTATTATTATTATTATTATTATTATATAAATAAACTATGCTTACGGGTCCAGCAAATATTTCTTAATATTGTAAGCTTCACAGTTGGGCCTCTTGTTATAATCTCTAAAATGAGTTTAATAGTGTCTGTTTGCAATACCAAATTCCTGCAGCTAACATCATTACCAGCAATATTACCCAAAGCCCAGACTGCTTGATCTACAACATCATAGTGTTCACTCTTTAATAACTCGACCAATGGGGGAATAATACCAAGGTCAATCAAGTGTTTAGATTGTGCATTTGTTCCCGATGCAATATTTGTTAATGCCCATGCTGCTTCTAATTGAATGGATGGATCTCCTGATCCCAATAATCTAATAAGAGCTGTTCCCATTCCCAAATCAATTGTTTGTTGAATTGGTGGCTTTGATTCTACAGACAATGCTTTTCTAACATAAACAACACCCTTCAATATTTTATCTCTGTCATTGCTTTTAATATCGGCTAAAGAGTCTTTTAATGTATAGCCTGGTGTATTATCCTCTTCAATTGACATCTTTATAAAGATTATCGTTAGTTGGTATATGAATAAATTAAAACTATTAAAAATTCTAAATAAATAAGTTTACCATTTATGTCTTTAATATATTATAAATTATTATAAATAAATATAAATAATAAATTAAAAAAAATAAATAAGGAATTATGTTAATAATATTTTTTTTGATTTTTTGTTAACACAAAATAGTTGGAAAAATTTAAATTATTGTAATTTTTTTTTTTAAATTTTTTATTGTTTTTCTTAAAATTTTTTTTTTTAATTTTTTTTTTTATATATTTTTTTTTTTTTTTTTCTGATATTTAAATATCTTTTTTTGCAATCACGATTATCATTTTTTAATAATTATCATGGTTTTATAAAATTGACATTTTTTTTTATAAAACATTAAAAATATTAGTTATTTGAAAGAAGCATTTATTTGAATGTTTTTTTCTTTTTTTTATTATAATTTATTTTGGGGGGGGGTGGGTGTAAAAATAGTAACCCCCCGACTTAAAAAAATTAAGTTTAATTTTTAAAAATTAAGTTTAATTTTTAAAAATTACATAAATAGTGGTTAATAATATTTTAAAAACATATATTTGTAATAATAAATCATTTGTAATAATTAAAAAATAATATTTGAATAGCATCAATAATTATAATTAAAATTGAATTTATAAAATGGAAAAAGATATAGATGAAATAAATAAAAAATTTATATCAAAAATGGAGAAAGATATAGATGAAATAAAAAAAAAATTTATATCAAGAATTGATAAAGAAAAAAAAAAAAAGCATAAAACTAATATTTTATTGATTGGTCCGGTTGCAGGCGGTAAATCTCAATTAATTTATTTCTTTGCAAAAGAATATGTAAATGAAGAGCAACTATCAAGAATGAATATCAGCAAATCAGGTGATGGTACAAAGGAACTGGTTATAATTGAAACCGATAATGCCATATACTATGACTACAGGGGAAAGAAAGAGAATGAAACTATTGAAGAATATTTAGAGGCAATTGAAAATGCTCTTGGCTCAAAATGTAAAACAATTGACTTAATATTCGGTGTTATTCGATTGTATAATGAGAGAGATTGTGATATCATTCTAATGAAAGAAATTTTATCAAGTATTAAAGGCCATTACCCAGATAACAAATTAGAGAAAACCGAATTCATTATATTCATGACCAAGGAAGATGAGGTCACCTCTCCTTTAAGCAAGTCCATAGCTGATGATAGACTTGAAAAGTGCAGGAATATATTCAAAGACATCAAAGGCGATGACAAAAGAAAACCACATAAATATAATAAGACCCTATTACTATTAGTAAAAAATATATCCTCTACTCGAATAAAAATACCCAAATTAGAATGCAATGATGCAGAAGATTATCAAATAGATCAAAATGATTTAGAAAAAAAGAAATGTACTCAAAAAAAAATCAATTTTTACAATGGAAACGTTGTTTTTTGTGAAACTTGCTCAACTATTTTTCTTACTGAAGATAATAATATAAAAGATAAAGTCTATAAAGATTTTATCCATGGCAAAAAAATAAAAACTATTGAAAGCTGCCAAATCAAAAACTCTCGACCCAATAAAATATTAGAAACATTTATACAATACGCAGTGGATCAAAAAATTTTTACAATAATTGTAAATGAAGAGTATGATATGCAAAAGAAAATTTTTTATGATGTTCCATCATTATTAAAAAGCAAAATAGAAACATGGGAATGCAATCACCAATCAAACCCTATTGAAAAATGTACAGTTTGCTACCAATGTAGTGATAAAAATCTCTATATTAACATTTCAAAACAATTTAAATTTACCCATTCCAGTGAAGAAATTGCCAGTCAAGAGAGTAAAAGATGGAAATCAGTTAGTTCTCTCAGCTATTCATTTCAACTGCTGATATCTCCAGTCACTTTGATGGTTCAAAAATTTATTTATGACCCAAATAATGACTATCTAGGTAGCTGGGCTTTGTTTTACTGTATTTTATTTAGAACTTTGTCAAATGAAATATTAAAGCAAACAATATATATATATACAAAACAAAATAAAAATCACGATATAGATAAAACAAAAGAATTTTTAAACTATTCTAATCTTTGGGAAAATTTGAAAAATAGTGAAACCCTGCTAACAAAAAGAATCAAAAAACATATTCGAGTAAACTCCTTAGATTTTACTTGTAAATCATTGGCTAGCGAAGAATTTGATATTTACGATCCAAAAACAGATAGAAATAACGAATTAAACAATGGTCCTGTTGCTCACATTAAAAATTTAATGATCAACTTATCAATATCATCAGAAAAAGATTTAAATATATTAAATAGAATTATTTTTGATAATAATAATAATAATGATAATAATAATAATAATAATAACAATAATGATAATAATAATAATAATAATAACAATAACATTAACATTAACAATGACAGCAATAATAATGATAATAATAATAATAACAATAATAATTAATAAATATGTTATTAAGATAACTTTTTAAATATTAAAAAAAATAATATTATAAGTTTTTATTTTGTTTTTATTTTTTTATTTGTCTTTTTGATTGTTGCAGTTGTTTCTAATGGAGCTGCGTTTGATTCTTTTGATGGTTGCTTTCTAACTTTTTTAGATTTTTCTTTTTCTTTTTCTTTTTCTTCCTTGCCTGCTATCGAGTTATTATCTTTTTCTTTTTTAGTATTGGATTTTTTGGTTACTGTTGTTGATATATTATTTTCAATTGGTTTATTAATTTCTTTTTTATTCTCTTTTTTAAGATCTTTTTGTTCATCTTTTTGGTTTAATATATCATCCAAATTATTACTGTCAAAATCATCGGATGGAATAAAATTAATATTTGGATTAATACAATTGATTCTTAATTTTTGATCGTGAGCTTTTGAATCATCTACATAAATTTCCACGGTTACTTTATCGAAAACTCTAAAGGTTAATGCACCATTGGTGAGTGTTTGATCATCGTGATTATAATTGAATGAGCTTGCTTTGGATGGATCTGAAACATAAACAGTGCCTTCAAAACCATAACGAGGAACCAAAACTACAAAAGCATTAGCTTTAACACGGATAATGTAAGCATCCTCAACTGATTTACGACCTTTGAAAAAGATTAATGTGTGAAGTTGGGTTGAACCTCTACCTGCATATTGGGCCATTTTATGACGGAAATTGTTATTCTCTGTGAGTGATGAAATGGTTTTATTATCTAAATTTAGCGATACTGATGATACACCAATGGCAGTAGCTAAAAGACGATGAACAATAATATCTGGATAACGACGAATTGGTGATGTAAAATGAGTATAAATTTCACTAGCTAAACCATAATGATTAAATTCTTCGTATGGTACTGAACCTGAAGAGAAATAAACGGCTGGTGACATGCAACGAGTGGTCATAATACGACATAGAGTATTAAAGTATGGGTCACCTTCGATATTGCATGAATCTAATGACTCTGATAATTCTTTACTTGTGTTGGTTGAGAATGTGAAACCTTTATTTTCGATAAGCTTTGTTAAAAGCTCAAAACTAGATTTCTTTGGAGTTGGATGACGACGGAGCATTGCACAACCTGGGAAATGTTTGTAAATCTTTTTAGCTACCCAAATATTTGCTAACAACATAAACTCTTCAATCATTGCATTGGTTTCACGAAGTTGATAAATTTCTACATCAGATGGATCACCACCGTGTTCCTCTGTCTTAAACTTTACTTGAGGAGATGCCAACATAAGAGCACCTCTATCGAAACGTTGCTTACGCAATACTTTGGCTAAATTATTAAGGTGACGTAAATTGGTAGCGATTTGATCGTTTTGTGATTTGTCATCAATTTTAATTTGAGCCTGTTCGTAGGTTAATGATGCACATGAACGAATAATACTCTTTGTGTATTCGACATTAATGATTTCACCATCGGCTGTTATTTTCCAAATACAAGAGAATGCATAACGGTCGACATTACACATTAATGAACACAAGTTGCCTGATAATTCACCTGGTAACATATCAATTCTACGATCTACTAAATATACTGAAGTACTACGACTTGCTGCTTCCTCATCGATTGCTGTACCTTCTTGAACAAAATGTGATACATCAGCAATATGAACACCAACTTCGAAAACACCTTTTGAAAGTTCTTTGATATGAAGAGCATCATCAATATCTGTACATCCAGGTGGATCAACTGAAAATATGCACTCTTTTCTTAAATCTTTACGACCAACCATATCAGCAGGAGTTACACGATCCATAATATCTGGTGAAGGTAAGCATTTCATTACTGAGGCTCCAAATGGATGATGTGGAATATCAAATTGTAAGAGTAATACTTGACTTTCAGTTTCCTTGTCTCCCAATGGACCCAAATCTTTAACGAAATGACCTGATGGATATTTTGAATTCTTGTCCCATTGATCGATTGCGACCACAATACGTCTTCCTAATAAATTGCTAACTTGACGACTCTTGATACGAATTTTTGGTATACGCTTATCTACTGGTATAAAAAATAAAAAGTGTAAACCAGTTGATTGATTTGAACCATCACCTTTAAACTCTACAGCACCACAATATGGCTTCCAATTACGTTTAATAATACCAACAACTCTACCAGTTGGCTTTTTGTTTGCTACCATTGCATCCTTTGCGATTGAATCATCGTCCTGCTCAACACCCTCACTTTCCAACATAATAATTGTTGATGGTGCATTCCATTTACTTTCTTCGAATAACTCTATTGCTACAATATCTCCATCAACTGCTCTATTAATATTATCGATACCTTGAATTAAAATATCTCTTTCGTTTGCACGATCTGATACTGTTGCTTCTCTGTAGTTGGTTATTGAGGTTCTAAATACACCTTGAACTAATTTACCATTTTTAATCTCTTCTGTTAAAACTGATAATGGTTTATGTTCTAAAAATTGGAATTTCTTTGACTCGTCTGTATCTTTGATATGATCTTCTGATGGATCTGATAATTTATCGACTAATGATGGATTTTTATCTGATAACTCGAATACCAAATCTTGAACTAAACATAATTAAAAATACAATGTTAATTTCTAACTGATTATTATTTAGCTTTAATAAATTAACATTAAAATTAACAACTTACTAGTTTGACAATCCAAACCCAATGCTTTGGCTTTCTTTAAATTATCTTTATCATTTGTAATTAATAAAACTTTAATATTGTATCTATGTAAATGTGATCTGTACCATTCAGCTGCACTTCGAATGGCTCTATCATTTCTATCATTTGGAGTTTCACCAGTCTCTCTTTGGATGGATGTAAATTTGCTATATTCATTGGAATAAACGTAGAAACGTCTATCTGCATCTTTAACGATATCTCTTATACGATTGGAAATAGAACGATTTTGATTCTTTACCTCATCCAAAACTGTTGATAAAATAACAACATCTTTAATAGTTGGATCTTCTAATAAATCGATTTGGTGTAATATTACATTAGTATCCAATACTAATACCTTGGTACCATTTAATGAACTAATTTCATTTGATAATAAAACTCTATCCTCTACAGTAGTTCTCTTTTCCAATTTCTTTTTACATTCTACACATGAATCATGTCCACATGGTATATCATCTCTTAAATATATTTCATTTACAACTTTAATAACTGTTCCTTTTTTTGTTACTCTATAAAAACATTTATTTGATTGCATTATTAATATATTATTATTAAAAAAAAATAATATTAAATAAATAAAACTATTATTTATAAATAATATTTAATTTTGAAAATTTTTGAAAAAAAATAAAAAAATTAAAAAATAAATAAATTTTATGAAAAACCGAGAAAAAATTTTTTTTCATAAAATGAAAAAAAAAATAAAAAATTTAAAATAATAGTTAATTTCTTATTTATAAATAAGAATAATAGTTATTTCATTATATATCATTATTTATATATAAACAATATAAAAATAATATTTAATTGTTTTTTTGAAAAAAAAAAAATAAAAAAATAAAAAAATAAAAAAAAACTTTTAAAACAAATTTGATCAATTTCTTAAAACTATCCTTTAATAATATTTAATTTTAATTAAATTAAATAGATTTTTAAATTAACTTTAAATGTTAGTTAATTATTTAAATTTAATTTAACTTTTTTTTATGAGAATTTTTTTATAAAATTCGATGAAAAAATTGTTATTTTTTTGAGATTTTTAAAAAAAATTTTATGAAAAAAGAAAGAAAATGAAAAATAATTAATTTTTGTTTAAAATTTAAAAACTATAAATTTTAAAGTTTTTTATATTTTATTTCATTAAACTAAAAAACTAAATAATAGTAAATAATAATAATATAACTATAAAATAATTTTTTTAATTATTTTTTACCTCCCCACACAAAACACACAAAACATATAAATTCATTTTAATAATTGTAAATACATATAATAATAACCATGGCATCAACTCAAATTCACTTTAGCTACCCAACCTATTCAAACCAAAACACCCAAGATTCTTATGATGATTACTCTGATGAAGATTATAGCGATTATGAAAATGAAATTGAATACTCTTTAGAGCAACAAGATAAATTAGAATGGGGTATTAATGGCGGTGGTAGAATGTCTGGATCAAGTGGATCATCAAAGAAAACCAGCAATATTAACACCAATGCCACTAAACCAGCAGCCAACACCACAAAAGTATCACCAACCCCATCACCATCCTCATCAAATCAAATTAAATCAGTTGAACAAATTTTAGATGAAATCGAACAAAAACAAGAATTAAAAAATAAAAAACCAGAGATTGAAAAAACTCAAAAACTAAGCTCATCCGAAAAAGAAGAGATCCTTAAGAGAGAAACTGAAAATGTTAAAAAAGAAAGACTCCCATCCAGCGAAGAAGTATATAACAGAATCAAATGGGAATTCAGTAGCAAAGTAGAAGATTTTAGCATTTTATATGAAGATCGTTTTGATGGTTTAATTAGCGCTAGTTTCAAAGATTTCGAATATGATGTTATCCCAAGCCACCGTATTCAAATGTTCAAATATAAAGATTTTGTTATTTACTCCCGTAAAGAAAGAATTTATAATTTTAATGATGTATATAAAAACTAAATAATAATACGTGCATATATATATATATTTAAAAAGTTAAAATATGTTATTTTATATAAATCTTTAGCATATAATTAATAAATTGTAAATAAATGTAAATTAATCTTTAATAAAAAAAAAAAAATTATATTTATGTCTAAAAATATTTTATTTAAACTTTCTTTATTCGATTCTAGTACTAACATTAAAAAAAAAAAAACAATATATTTCCATATATATTGTATTTTATAGCACTATTATTTATTGCTGTTTATTATTTACATCTATATTATTGTTATTATTATTATTATTATTATTATTTACAAATTTTTTGAAGTTGATCTAATTAAATCCTCAGTTTCTATTATATTTATATTACTTTCCTTCATTTTTTTGATAGCTGCTTCGACAGACTCGGTTGAGATACCTCTGGATGCATCCTTTAAGAAAAATGTATTGAAACCCAATGATTTTGCATCCAAGCATGTATAAGATACACAAAAATCGGTTGCTAATCCACAAACATAAACGTTCTTGATGGAGTTCTTTTTTAATATATTATCCAATGGAGTTTTTGAAAGCTTATCGTTATCGAAAAATGCTGAATAACTATCAACGTCGACATTCATTCCTTTGGTTATAATAGTATCGCTCTCCAATACTTTTAATTTTTTATTAAACTCGCTACCATATGTATTTTGTACACAATGATCCTATTAAAATTGAAAAAATAAAATTGAATTAATAAATTGTTATTTTATAATATTACTAATATTATACTAAAAATAAATACATACAGGAAATAATAATTGTGGAGAATTTGATTTAGTTTTTACTGTATCAAATGGTTTTTTATTTGCATGAGTTGATGCAAATGAGACATGTTTAAGTGGATGAAAATCTTTTGATAATACAACCATATCAAAATTATGTCTATCTCTTAATCTATTTATTGGTTTTAATATTTCTGATGCATTCTTTACCTCTAATGATCCACCTTCCATAAAATCATTCTGAACATCTACAATAATTAAACATGACATGTTTCTAATTATATTTGATTTATTTTCTATATTAATTACTATTATTTATTATTTTATTTAATTTAAAAAAAAAAATATAAAATTAAATAAAAAAATAAAAAATAAAAAATAATTATATTGTATATTTTTTATTTATTTAATTTTTTTATAATTTAATTTTTATATTATTTATTATTTATTTGTTTTATTTTTTATTTTTTATTTAAAAATATTATTTATTATTTATTATTTATTATTTAAAAATATTATTATTATTAAGTATTGTATTTAAATTGAAAAACTTTTTATAAATACTAATTAAGTTTAAAAAGAAAACTAAAGTTTATGATTCATTTTGTGTGTAGTGCTTCTATTGGATTCTTTGTATTAAATTTTTTCTTGTTAATTTTTAAATAATTTAAAATTAAAATTTTTATTTAAAAAAATAAATTAAAAAAAATAAAATTTTTTTTATTTTATTTTTTTTTTATTTTTTTTTTATTAAATATTTTTTTATTCGTTTTTGAAAATACAATCACAACAACGAAATTATTTTCACCCACATTATATGAAAAAATATTTATATATTAAATAGTGAATGATTAAAATAATCAAATAAAATCAAATAAAACCAAATAAAATCAAATAACCAAAATAATAAATAAAAAAAAAATATTTGAATTATAAATTCACACACAACCCTTTTCAAAAAAAAAAATGAAAAATGTGAATGTGGTATTTTTTTTTTTTTTTTTTGCGCTATAGTGCACCAAATGGTTTCTAAATTAGTTTAGCTCCTCCAATCAAAAGTTAGATTTTATAAAATGTTTTATTTTATTGGTAACCTTTTCATATCATAAAACAATAAATTTGCACATATTATCAAATTAAAAAAAAAAAAATTAAAAAAAAATTAAAAAAAATTAAAAAAAACTCTTAAATTAAATGTTGACATATACAAAATCTGATTGAGCGAAAAAAACACTCGACTCATACGAATCAAAATCCAGATTAACCAAAAAACCTCAGAAGTGATAAACAGTGTGTATGGAAAATAATGGTGTGGATATTAAAAAAAAAAAAAAACTGGAATAAAAAATTAAAAAATTAAAAAAAAAATTAAAAAAAAAAAAAAAAGATATTTTTCCAATCATGATGATTGGTGATTTGGGAAAATAAATAAAATATTTAACTATATATAAAACACCAAACCAAATATTTTTTTTTGCTATGGAAAGTGA